TTTGCAAGTGTGGCTTGCCGAATTCTATGCGAGAATTAAGGATGCGGAAAGGAGGCGCTTCGATCAAGCTTATGCGAGCGAGGTCTTGGGTGCCAAAAAGTCAGTCAAGATGGCCGCTGACGCTCATGAGAACTAATGTGGTGAGCAATTACCAAGGACTGCATCTGAGCCTCGATCTACAAAAGAGCTAGATGTTAGTTTGTATCAATTCCATCTACTCGAGGAATGAATGAGACCCTTGTTTGAGTAGCATCGCGTGTGTTGTATAAACAAGGGTATTCACTAACGCGCTATACGAGCTTTTATTGCAATATGCGGTACAAAGTATAAGTCCATTGATATTCACCAGCTTGAACACTGAAGCTACCTTGTTCAACATCACAGCGACGCCCGTTGAATCGGTCTCGCTGCTTTTTCGGGAACGGGTCTAGGTTGTGACGCGACACAAGGGCAATCATTATAGAGTCCGAGGGTACAGCGCCCAAAGCCACTTCCCTCGTATTCAACACTGCTGCAAGCGGGGACGCCGGGACAGGGTTCTGATTCCGTATCAGACGTGGAGTCCTCACCGTCCACGTTGTCTATATCCTAGGGGTCGGTATCGGTCTGGGAGGATGTACAACTGCATCCATCATTCACCCCAGCGGTACAGCCCCAACTGGGAGTCCCTGCACATGAGGGACACCAGACAGACGTGGCCGGGCATTTCTTTTCGAGGTCAGCATCGCCTCTCGGAAAGGGTGCCAAAAGTCTTGAAACGTGTCTACAGAGCGACCGTTCTCGATACATGACTCAAACACTATAGGTTGTTTCAAAGGAGGAGACTTAAAGGTCCGAAAACACGTACGGACTGGGAGCATGAGCATGCATTGCCGCAATTGCCCGGATTTCCGCTACCGGTGGAACTAGGGAAGACGACTACGAGAGCGCACCTGGCGCCAATTGTGTCGATGCAGTATGTCTGCATGGAAACACCTGTGCCGGCTGGGGAGCTGGTGCCGGCACAGACGGGTAACTGTCGGGGGGTTAGCGGAGAAGAGAGATTGGTAGAGGATACGTACGTTAGGGCTGTTCAGACCCTCCTGACGGCTGGCTAGAACACCTGCTGGCACCGCCGCTATAGGGAGAAGGAGGGTAGCGAGTGTGAAGAGGATAACAGTAAGGGTCCGCATGATGGTGAGCGAATGAGGTGAGCTGGGTGCGAGACGGTGGCCACAAATGCAATGTATTGTGACAGAAAGGAGAAGGTACGAAGGAGAAGACGACAATAGCGCACAGAGCACTCTTATATTATGAGCCCAGGAGACAGTGAGCCCCTTGCGCTTCTACCGCTAGTCTGTCAAGGTGGCAGTATGAAGCGAAGAACAAGAGAGAAACATGTTTTGCGCTGAGCTGTCGTTTGGCGAAGACCGGCAAGTGTCGGACCACACACCGGGTACGGGGATGTCGACATCATGGCCGGAATGGAAATGAATTGCAGCGTACTGGGCCATTAGCGTTCAATGAGGATTTGGTGGTAGTTATAAGGGGGGATATTTCGTCGACGCATAACTTTTATAGAAATACCTTACCTATCTAGCCAGAGATTCTCTAAATTGACGTCGCATAAGGCAATTTGAAACAGCTGTTCCGGTGAAACAACGACGGCAGCTACAAGCGCAACTAGCTTCCGTTTCGCATCTGTATAAGCGATGCTGTGGCGTAGCTCCTAAGGCTCTACTCGTACGCAGTGAAGGCTCCCCGAACTAGGGTTACAGACTGGCCCCAATGGCCCGGGTATATCAAGCGCTGAAGTACGCCGAGATTTCCTATTTTTGACGATAATTGCTGAGCCCGTGTAAGTCGCAGCTCACGAAGTCGATGGAGGCGGCATCGCATTATTACCACATTCATTACCATTGGGATTGTCTAGATGGCTAGCCTCTATAGCCTTTCTTATCCTGCACTAAAAGCAGGAAGCTAGCTGGATGGGTGTTGAAAAGAAAATGAATACGGGGGCAGCAATTTCGGTATGTCTTGCACGATGATCCACGCCTCAGCCGAGCTCTACACCAAGCCACCGGAGCCGTTGACAGAAAGTCATAAACTGATGTTGCTTGTTGTCACGCTGTTGGTTTAACACCTCTAATACTTTCCTCGCTCTCTGATACTTCAAATACGACAGGAACAAGATTAAGATTGAGATCCTCAAAGCCCTGAAACATCCTGCAACCACAGACAGAAACACATCATCACATCTCTCCCTCTGCCTTTCTCTCGAGGTACAAACCTCATCCTAATCGCACGACCATGGTTTGAAAACTCCTCATATTGCAATGCTAGTCTGAAAAGGAAGATCGAGACGTCCAGATGCTCAAAGAAAACTGTCTATGGGGAGTCGGCAGTCTTAGTCGGAGTCCTCGCTGTTACATGTGCATTCGCTGGTATATCCCTTATCCGACGGGGAGGACGACCTCCGCCCGCCAACCCAGGCCCTGTAAGGGCGCCAGCGGTGATGAAAGCTATTGGAGGATCAGTCCAGCCGTCCGCCCACACCCCATCGGAACAGCCCTGTAAGGCAGCCGGGTCCGCGGCCCGTAGGCTACTGAAAAACGCTCGCGGTGGTGCAAATTGAGGCTGGTACAATTGTCCGGGCTCCACATATAGACCTGGTGGTGGACAGGGCAGATCAGCAAAATTGAAAACCTCAGCAGAGTCTCCGAAAGGGTTCACGGTCGATAGGGCGCCGGGGGTGAAGGACATCGTGATTGAATCGTAGGTCGTGCTAAGGCTACCGCAGCCATTGCTAAGGCTTAATGAATAGAAGATGGCGTATATACTTGAAGATTGCCTTTCAAGGGCGGTCAGTGTGTTCCTTGGGCACGTTTTGCAACAGGCCAAGAAACTGACTTACGGGTTTAATCCCGCTGGGGGCAGCGCTGACGGTGGACTGGATATTGTGGAGAGACACGCTGTGTTTGCGGACTGCTGGGGCCAATAAAAGACCGAGACCGACTAAAACTAAATTTAGAAAATGCGCGGGTCCGGGATGAGAGTTTATCACTGACCGCCACATTGAGACTGCAGAGCAATGGTTGGCAGTTTGCGGTATTAACCGTAGTAGGTCCGACTCTGACCACTTTGGTGATGACATCAACTCCGTGCGACTGATCTGACAGAGCTGATGATGAAGACAACCCCATTGAATCTACGAAAGATGTAACTGCGACGACTTTGGTAACCATAGTAATGCCCGCGGTCATGTCTAAAGTAAATCAGCAAAGACCCTTGGGTTGTTGAAAAGCGACGGGAGTTCATGTACTGGCTTGGTATGATGAATTGGGAAAAGAGGTCAGAGATATCGGAAGAGGTTGTCTTTCTTCTAGGACTGCACAATCGACCAACAAGCCTACGAAACATGTTTGGTAGAACCAAAGGGCTAACAAGGTACAGGCAAATGACATTATCAGATCCCTTCGAGTACAGATGATTTTCGCAAGGACCGAGCGTTGGTCCGAACGTCGTGACAGCAGAAGATAAACTTCCCATATATTTCAGATATCTTCCCGAGGTCAAACACTTGTAGAGATTCGACTTTCATAAGAACCCTTGTTGCCAAGAACTGCGGTCGAAACAGGGGAGTGTTGTGCCACGTGCTAGACCCATGGGCTAACCCTATCACGATGCAGACGCAGGAAAAATGCAGGATTGCGCTACGCGTATGGAAGCAAAGAGTATGGACAAGGCAAACGATCATTTGTTTCCAGTCGGAGGTTGGCAATGCCAGAGCGAAAGATCATTGACTTGCTCATAACTTTCCCGAGATGACCGTTCGGGAAGTATTGTTCTTCAAGTTACATCTTAGAGAGTATGGCTGGTTTCTCTACTTTGTCAGCCTCATAAATTCCGGATCATTCTTGACAGTGCTGCAGGGACTGGGCGAGGCAGGAAAATGTGGACGGGTGGAGCTCCCTACATGGCTGCGGTAACAATTACACGAGAGCAAAACCACGAAGGTGCATGTGAACTGTGATACGGATTCTATGTGCCTCACAGCCAGCTGCAGATGGGCTGAAGATGAAACTCTAGATCCAACAGGACCACTGTTACCGAAGGAAGGCAAACGTGTGGCACGATTGGCCGACGTTCTGCCGGGGCGGTCAAGAGCGCCAAGAAATAAGTGCAGGGCGGAGTATTGGAACTACCTTAAGTAAGGTAGGGTTACACAGATATTAGTAGACTCAAAGAACCATGGTCTCTTTCATGTGTGCGGCTTGGAGAATCCTGTCTGTGTTGAAGTCTGAGTCCGCGAAAGTGGACAACGCAAACCGTAGTTCCAAAGACCCTGTCCCTCACATTATGCACAAATCTCGGTTTCATTGCCGCTTTATCTTCTTGATCTATAGCTGTCAATGATTGATGATTGTGCAACCTTTTACCTTCTTCCTCTTTCTTCTCCCACTTTCTTCCTACTCAGTGGTACAAAATTTCTCTCTGAAACTGTATTCCTATCCTCGCTTCGCAATATTGAGAAAAGTTTACTAACATGGAGAGTGTTTACTTCTATCTTGATCTGCCTACCACGCCTATTTATAAGTGTCAACGTTGTGACATAAGATATCGTGACTAGGGAACAGACATAGGACTTTTGATAGCCTACTCTCCGCTCAACACATTGAGCGTCAGCACGTCGCTGTTTGCATCTACGGATCGGGTCTATGCTCGAGACTTTCAGAGGATGGAAGATTATCCGCTCCTCGAGCAGAACACATCCGCCATCACTCATCACCACCTCAACCTCTTCGAACGACGAGATGGGTTGAGTTGAGGGGCAAGGAAAGAGGAGGGCGTCATTTGGAGGAGCATCCAAGAATTCACCCACCAGTCAATCCAACCCATCTTCCTCCAACCACATACCTACTCCTCCTCTCATTTTCAAACTTCAACAGTCCCCCTCACGTCTCATCATCTCACCCAACTCGATCCTAAACAATCCAATCCCAAAATCTTCGACTCCAACAATGTCCTCCCACACCGACACTCTTACACCAAGACTAGTACAAGCACCGATAACTCAGCGTCGCAAAGGCTTATAGGGGCCGCTCTTACTCGGACTAAGTCACGAGACAGGGATGGGCTCTCGCGTTTTATGTACCTGCGGCGGGAAAGGAAGTGGAGAACGAACAGCCTGCGACAACAAGGGTTGTCCTGTTCAATGGTATCACTGGGAACGCGTTGGTATCACACAAGGGCCAGCTGGCGGTTGAGCATGCCCACGATGCCGGCTACGCACAATCGCGGGTGTGCAAGACAACTTCATAGCACCAGTACGCGAACATTCATTCCCACAGCTCCCCAAAGTCGGCAACATGCGGCAGAGACCAGTTGTACAAAATCAGCTAGAGGAACAAGCCACCGTTGTCAAGAAGGCGCCGTCGAAACCCAGGAAGTCACAGAGATTCACTCGGATGGTGTACGAACTCACGGAAGCCAGTGTATTTGAGGATATTCAGAACCAGAGCCGGGCCATGACGCTTGCCAACAAGGAAGAAGCAAAGGCGCAAGAGCTGGCAGATACGGCAGACCCGGAAGGGCAAAGGGCAGATTCAGGGGAGAATTTAGTGGAAGCAATGCTCGTACGCAAGATGCAGGCCAAGACCGAGAAGGGGTTGAAGGATACCGGCAACCAGCCAAGGAATGACTCCCGGTACGTCGTAGCCAAAGCGCTGGGTAACGTGGAGGCACCAGGGGACGATGGGGGCGACGTGAATATCGATCGTGGGATTGAGAGAGAAGAAGAGAAAGCCGCTCTTTCTATACACGAGGTCGCGTGATGGCTCATTCTTCTAGGATCAAAATAGCCATCCACTACTTTGCAAGACACCAGGGGCGACGATACTCGGCGCAGACTTAACTTTTTCGACCTGTTCCCACCGAGCAGGAAGATGTATGTCACACTAGAAACCAGCGCGGAGCGAAGAACTCTCCTGCAACTTGAGGATTAAACAGCTCCTTTCGGTTCGAAGCAGGGCTGAGATGTTGATATGTACATCAATGAGGTGCGGGCTAGGATAAGCGATGACAGGAATGTATAGATAGATAGCAGCAGAGAAAAGCGTATATTATCTGGGCAGCCCGCAGTCATCACAATTAGGAATATATTAAAGAAACTGTTTTTACTACTGGTCATCCAACTCCTACACGTGTCTTACTCAACTGCACCCTGCCTCTTTCATGGTACATGTGTCTCGGACCTTCGGCCGTGTATCTCACATATCGCCAGCGTGTCAACGAACTTGACAAAGATGCGGCTTAGTCTTCCGCTCCGATTACTTCTGTAAGTCTAACAACCTTGTAACCCGAGCCAGACTCATAGGCATGACTGGCTTTGAAACCCTTCTCCCTTTTTGAAGCAGATGCATGAAGCTACTTTTCCGCCTCGGTCTTGGTTGCATTACGATCTAAGCGCTAAGCCCTTTCTGGTTGCCAACACGCGAGATTGCTTACGGGTCAAGAGAGTTCTGTGCGCGCATAACCGTTGGACCCATGTTGAGTGGAGACTGCAATGGCGTTTTCCTGCTGGTCAGGAAGACTTTGGTGGGGATTCGGACCCTCAACAAGACGGTTGGAGTGGTTTGTCCTAGCGCATGAGCGGCACTGACGAGAGAAAACTATAAGTATCATCGCCTCCTGCCAGAGGATACACGTTTACAACACAGCATCTCCCATCTCCCGTCTCAATTAGCATCAACCATACAGCAGCTGTCATTCAGGACCTGTCTCGAAGCGACCGACTCACAATGTTCATCATGAAGCTCATCCCACTTCTCGCTTGCTTCACAACAACGTCTTCAGCCAGCGCTCCATCATCGGCTGCTCTTCCTCCCTTAGTTCATCTCTTCGCCGCCAGTATTGATCTAGCAAAACCCATATCACCATCGCCACTTCCGGTCCGAGGCGGAGTGCGTGTTCGTACGTGCAATGTTTCTTGACTTTGATCGACGGTACTGAAATGCATGATAATGGAACCCATCACGGGCGGCAGGATAACAGGCGCCATCAACGCAACCGTTCAAGCTGGCCTTGCATACCCTGCAATTTATGAGAACAGCACCATCGAAGTCCCAGCAATCATCCTCTACGGCACGACACACGAAAAAGTGCCATATCTAATTCAGCTTTTTGGTGTTGGGAAGCCGGCAGAGCAAGTGGTGAGAGTGGTGAGTCTAGTCTATCATTTGTGAATCTTGTGGTATGAGACCATGGCATGGGAAGCTGACGTGACTTCTTACTTTAGCAAATTGAGACTGGTGGAAAGTACTCGGCCTTAGCCGATGCTTTCGTCATTGCTGAGATCAAGCCGAACATGGCCCGTACGATGGTCAGCGTCGAAGGGTACGAAGCTGAAGAGTAAGAGGAAGAACAAGGTCAGAGATGGAAGGAGGAAAGAAATGGAGACGGATACTGTAGAATTGATACTGGGTACTCTAGCCTGTACTGAAGTAAATTTGGTTTTGAAGATTTCAATAAATGTGTATTCAGTCAAGTGGAAATAGAAGGTGGAGCAGAAGTATGAAACCATTTCAGCCCCTATTACGAGTACGTACTGGGCTTGGCATCTTGCGGGGTTCTGTTACTAGCCATAACGCTAGCGATCCATGGTAATCTTACCTTAGCGGTATCACGGCGGATGAGCCCCGCACCGCTAACAAGCTCGTATAAATTTCCAAGGAACTACAAGCCAGCTTCCATAAACACAAACACTGTATTGTCCGTTCGCCGACTTCAACACAATGAGCCTCAGAAGTTAGATACAAGTCAAAGAGTTCCCAAAGCCAATGCACTTGATCAACACTGCCATAAGGTAGCTATACACAGACGGCTAGATTGATTCTTACGTCACTCGTCCACTGACCTTGACGCGCGAAGGCTCACTAATCGACCTCTCTTTTCCTGTGCTAAGTCTCTCCATCATGACTGCCTCCGCGCTAGCTCAATTCGGCACCAGGCATGTAGCCAGAGGCATCGGGAGACTCGCGAGCGAGGTCATTGAGAGCGGCTCTGGCAGCTATGTCACCATGGTCGGAGGCCGCAGGATGCTCGATTTCACCTGTGGTATCGGAGTCGCCAACCTAGGCCATTGCCATCCAGCCGTGACAAAGGCAGCTCAATCACAAGTCGGCAAGCTCGTCCACGGACAGATCAACATAGCCTTTCAGAAGCCCTACCTCGAACTGATAAAATCGCTTCTACCTCTAATGCCTCACGAGTCGCTAGACACCTTCTTCTTCTGGAACTCGGGAGCGGAGGCTGTCGAAGCGGCGGTCAAGTTGGCTCGGCACGCAACCAAGAAACAGAACATCATCGTCATGCAGGGTTCGTATCACGGACGGACTTTCGGAACCATGGCAATGACGCGCTCCAAGACTGTCTACGGCGAAAATTACGCTCCATTGATGCCTGGCGTGTTCTCCGTTCCCTTCCCCTACTGCGCGCAATGTTCAGTCGCCACCCATTCGGATGGGAAGTACGGCTTTGAGAATTGTTGCATGGATCCCGTACTCCAGCTCGAGCTGCTCCTTAAACGTGAGACTGCGTCATCTGACACTGCTGCTATCGTCATTGAGCCAGTCCTGGGCGAAGGCGGCTACGTTCCACCTCCTGCAGAATACCTTGCCAAGGTTCGGGAAATTTGCGACAAAAACAACATCCTCTTGATTGCAGACGAGGTGCAGTGCGGCTTCGGTAGAACGGGGAAAATGTTCGCGATCGAGCATTGGGGCGTCAGGCCAGACATTTTAGTCATGGCGAAAGGGATTGCAAACGGCTTCCCACTCTCTGCGATCGTTTCGAGAAAGGAATTGATGGATATGCAGAAACCGGGATCGATGGGAGGCACTTACGCCGGAAATGCAGTCTCATGTGCAGCCGGAGTCGCCGTTGCTAAAGCCTTTCAAGACGAGAAGATTTTGGAAAATGTTGCTGCTCGAGGGGCGGAGCTAAAGGGCATGCTCGACGCAGCAAAGTCTGATTCCAAAACCAGCAAGATGATCTTCGACGTGAGGGGCTTGGGATTGATGTTGGCGCTGGAATGTACGCCGGGCCATGGATACGCATCGAAGATACAGGCGAAATGTATGGAGAAGGACATGCTGGTGCTCACGACCTCGATCTACGACACCCTCAGATTTATACCACCGCTCAACATCACGAAGGAGGATATGGCGAAGGGATGCCAGATTATCAAGGAAGCGATCGAGGAGGTAGCCGCGGGAGAAAGACCAGCTGAAACGGGAACGAAAGGTCAAGCTTTAGAATAGACCACTGTCCAAGCTTGATGCGTATGTGATGCTCTGTAGCCACTAGTCACCATCGTATGAACCCTCGATTTCTACAGCATCCGTATGGTATCTCAAACTGCTTGCCACCTTAACAGGCAATACATCGATAAATGTGTAGACCACGAATTCGGTTCTACCGCAGATACATCTCCGCATCCCAATTATGCTCCTTCTGTTCGTGGTTGCAACAAGCCCTTCAACTGCTTCATAGAACGGATCAAGCGCACACATCCGTCCCCTATCATTTCTACATCCCAAGTCCCACACTGCCGTACACACTCTCCATCCCAGAAGCACTACTTCACAACCTCATAATCTAGCCCTCCATCTTCCGTACCTATGCCTTCAAACCTAAGTCATCCAAGAAGCAGAAAAGGCTGCGAATCTAGTATTCACCAGCATTACTTTAACCCTTTGCAGGTAACTCTGACATTCTCGTAAAGTAAGTTGGATCTCTAGACTCGGGCGATACTTGTGACCCTGACCTTATTTCGTTGATACCTCTTGCGTTGATAAGTCAGCAAACATGGCCAAAGAATTTAACCTAGAGAGCGACACCGTCTCCGTCTTCAGAAGATGATACAGCGATGCATCAACGGAGACTGAAACGCACTCAGTCTGCATCCTGACTCTTAGCCGTATCGCGGAAGAAAGAACTACGATATGTGCTCGGGATAGATGCACGCCACCAAACCCCATCCGCCGACCCTTTTCATCCTAGCCACGACTTCAGCCGATGCTCAACCGTGCAACCCTACCGCATGACCCACCTCTGCAGTCCCAACATCACACATCAACCCCGTAGGCGCAATATCAATAACCCACAGGCTTCCCCCTCCTAGTGATTCATCCTAATGTCCGCACGTTTTAGCCCACTCCGTATCACCAGGCGCTCTCTGCACATTCAGCCGCAAAGCCAATAAACCACACGTAATCCCATGCAACCATTCCTCCCAACGCACGCCCAGGGGCGCAATATGCCGTATAGCTTTGGCTTCGATCCCGCCGACCTCCGCACGCGTCATCTCACCATCGCAGATCTCCTCGACACACCTCATGCCCACATCCACAGAAGGTGTATACGACCGCGCTCGAAGAGGTCCCGCAGACACCCCCCTCCATCGTGCGAGATAAGACATGGACAGCCAAACGTTGCGGACATGAAAGTGCCTGGTATCAAGATTTAGGGGTCCGTCCATGCAGTGGTTGGATAGCAGTTGGTGTGGTGGAATCGATGGCGCCTCGCGGGCCAGTCCGGCGTGGGGGGAGGAACTGTATTACCTAGGAGGCGGAGACGTAGAGTTGCTGTGTGGACAAAGAAAATCGAGGGGTGAATGGAGGGAGGGAGTGGGGACGGACTGATGGTTGTTGCTTGTATTGCCTAGGGGGCCAGAAGAGGAGTGACGGAAAATGAACAGCGGAAAGGAGATGATGACATGGCTGTTTGGGTTAGTAAAAACTAGTATCATTGACTTTCACTGCACCCAGCAAGTGTTCAAATGCTTTGGAACTCGTAGAGGATGTTCGAGTCGGTTGTTGGAAAAGACTCATGGACAAACGCACATACTCAAGCTTGCAAACGCTCCCGCGGTCTTGGGATGTTGGATCCAAGGACGAGAAGTAACCACACAGCAACTATTGAACTCAACTGCATCAAACCCAACACGCATCCTTCAACCGACACGTATCTTACCTACAACCACACAGTCTGTTTCACGTCTCACATGTCATCACCATTCCTCCCCCACCTTTCCTTAATCCGCAGCCACTCAGACTCGTCAATGCCTGTCCAACGTTTCCAGACCTCCATCTTCACAATCTCTTCGTTCAGTTGCGGTAAAAGGGAGCCAGCGTCGCGTAATTCCTCCAGTAAAGTGCGCTCTCCTTTTTGTTCGACTCCATCAGCGATGAGTACCCCAATCCTTTCATCTGCTGTAGCGAGACCCTCCCGAACACGCTCTCTGTGCCCCTGAGTTGGCGTATCCCACATCCAACTAATGTCGTAATCATCCATATATTCAAACTTCCCGATATCGTATGGCCAAGCTCTGAGAAGAATGATGTTCAATCCAGCGCCGATTCGTTTTCTAAGCTCTTTACAAGCATCCGAGATGCTCTCGACAATGGTCATGCCTTCAAAGTAGGCGTCGCATGTTTGAGGGATCCATAATCCTAGCTGCACTCGACGCAGGTGGGGAAATTGACCGAGCTGGGAGAGTTCTTGCTTGAGCTTCAACAAACTCGCATTGTCAATTTCTGAAGGGTTGGCGAGATCGTAAGGGTTGGGGTTTGTGTAGAGTCTAATCTCCCGTACACACTTTCTCAAATCGATCGGTGTTCCTACAGACTTCTTGAGCACGGTTTTGCCTTGGATTGTCCTCACGAAGAGTGTAGCGCGTGGGTCAATCACGATTTCGGATTCGAAATACCAGCCATGATTGAAGGTTCCGCTGGACCAAATTTCTTCGCATGCTCCTTTTGCGATGTAAGATCTAGGCGCCCATTCGTGAAGCAGTTCGATACATTCGGCGAAGTCGTCGGCTCCCTCGTACGGAAGTAGATAATAATTGTCGTGATAGTCGATGTCAACCCTCGCAGCAGAAGCGACGTATGAGAAGACAGTATCTCGTATCTCCCGGGGAAAGGAAGCGAAGTCACTTGAAGAGTCTGGACGGAGCACCATGGCGTCCTTGGTTGTTGTGGACATGATCGATTTCTGGCGTCGTCAGCAACAATGACCAGTGGGAAAGGTCACACGAACCAAGAGGCAGAGGTTGCCAGAATGCTTGTACATAGAAACGCTAGCGATGGAAGTGTATATATTAAATCGTAGAGTCCCCTCGAGATCACGGCTGCAGTGTTTATAAGAAACACGGTGAAGGGAGCTCTCAGAGCTGGTGCTAGTCTCGTGAGCTGCTCTCCCTTAATCAGACCCTTCTCCGCTCGAGGTAAATATATTTAGACTGGTCCAAGAGGATTCAAAGGGAAGCAAATGCTACTCTATCTCCGTATTCGGTGATTGGAATACCAGAGCGCCAGGAGACCCTACTCAGGACGGAGAATCGCCGCTAGACTCAGGCGCAAAGGAAATCCCGACCTATCATACAGACCGAGGCACGGTAACGTGCATTACGGGCAAGAGGATTTCGCATGTGACTGGGAAATGAAATGTAATCGATGAGCACGATAGTGAAAGTCCTGCATCTGATTGGAGAAGTGAGCGGTAGGGTCATCCTCAACGACCACATTGTAGCAGGTACCATCACAGAGCCTTTGAAAGTCGCCATCGTTGAAAGCGTCCGCGGTCAAACCTCAGGACTTCAAGAGTACTTATACACGAGCCGTAAAACTCACCAGATGTTTGCGCAAACTACAATCAGTTCGGCTTGGCGAGATCCGGTGGACGTGCGCGATCCAAGAATGCGGATCTATTCTCGCCCATGCAAAGTTGTGTTTGTTAACTTGGGTGTCAAGCATGATTGCCAAACGAGAATTGTTAGCTTCGGCTGAGCTCAAGGTCGTTGGTACAAGTGTCAGATACTCACTGGATGCGGGGAAAAGCCCCGCTTAGAGGAGCCAGGTCGCAAATCATGGCATGAGTCGAAAGGCTGCCATTGCAATGTGACGGCCGAAGGCATTCCAACACATGTATTGATCTCATCAATCTTTTGCCAGCACTTCTCGTGTTCGCCACCAAGTTTCCCACTCCCCCCTTCGCATCATGTGCTGAAGTGTGAGGTGTTCTATGAATTTTCCAGGACTGACAAAGCCCAATGTTGATACGAGTGCGTTGAATACTCCATCGACTGCGCTACAGATTCAAGGGAGCGAGAAAATTCGTTGTTGATGAATGAATGACTGGGCAAGTGGGAGCTCCGCAGGTAGAAGCCCCTGCCAAGCCGTGGGCAACATTGACTCTTGTATCGAGGGCAGCAGCTACCGAGATTGCCAAGACCTTTCGGCTAATGTTGTACTTTCGCAAATCGTTCCTGTTCCTAAATCTGCTCCACACCATCTTCTCTGCACACTCTCTATATCAGCCGCCCAAGGCTGCACTTCGCAGACACTACATTAAAATCAGCTTTCCATATCAGATTCGAAAAACAGACACAGAGTAGTCATCGACGCACTTTCGACCGGAACCTAGAATCGACTCTCGACTTCCTCCACACGACGCAACAACATCAGCAACCATCTCGACCCATTCTTCACCCCTCATCGACCATTTTCGAGAAGAAGGAAAAGAGCTCCATGGAAGTCACGCTCCACACACAAACACACAACTCTTGCCCCATCAACGCCAGCTCCAGCACCGTTCGAGCTTTGAGGGGAAGGAAGGAAGGATCATGCGGGCCACATGCAGTCAGCACGTTAGCGCAGCCCCCAGATCCCAACGCGGTCGCAGGTGCACGAAAGGACGGCGCGAAAGCGTCGTATTCGGATGCTATCTAGGTGCGATGATGATTCGTGCCTCATTCAGATGACTTTTCAGGTCATTGTTTGATGATGGTAATAATGCTCTCAACGAGCCTGTAGATGCAACAGCATTGGGGAAAGTTTCGGATAAGTGTACGCTGGAGATGAGTGCCAAGTTGGCTGGAGCTATAGAATTCCAGGAAAAAGAAAGATGCAGATCTTTCGGCGTTTTTCTATGCATAGGGTGCTGAGCGGCCGGGAACGGATGGTCTGTCACGTCACGGAATGTTCAAGCCATCAGAGTTGAGTTAGCGATGCATGCATGCTTGCTTGGTCCTGCGCCACGTTTACACCTGCTGGCTCCCTGGGATGTTGGGGTTGCTTCAGATGAGGCCGAAAAGTCTGGTTAGGTGTGATCGATCATGCGGATTGTGCCACGTATCCTCTGCCTTGAATGAGCTGTGCAGCATGATGGGTTAGTCTTTACATGTGAGCCTATCAATACGCAAGACTACGTAGCCCTGCGGCGCGTACCTTTAAAGCAGAGACCCATCGGGAAAAGTATTTCAGCTCAAGATATGCTCGGACTTCGTTTGCGAAAAGCCATACGCCGCAGCCCTCTCTCAAGTCTGCGTGGGCCACTCACATTTGACTCTGAAAGTTCCATTATGCTCCACAAGCATCCCGTTAATCCTGACTTCGCCTCACCAGAACGCCCCACCAGCTTCAATACAGATTCGTGATCGGCAATCCTCAGAGATTGACGTCTATTCAAGGTATTGCTCCAGGCGAACTAGAACCTCCCATACCCTCTCTCCAAATCATCTCGCGTCGTGGCAAGTTTCGCCGTCGGCATCTGAATCAGTTCCCTAGTAGCATCGCGCCTCGGTATAGCCGTTTCCTCATGAAGTTGAACATACTCCCCCTTGGGAAGAGACTGTTGGCTATACATCTCATGGTCATCATCCTTCTCCGTGCTTGAAACGACCGAAGCAAACGTGTGTTTGAAACTGGGTAGCTTGAGCTTTTCGGCTCGGACTTTGTCCGAGGGTGTCGCGGATGCCGATTCGTGACCTGACTCCTTTGTGGATTTGGACCTGAGTGTAAGGGCGCTGGATACTTTGGGGCCGATATGTTGGAAAAATTTTGGTATGACTGGGAGGCAGCTGATGACGATCCCGGTGGAGAGCTCGGCGTAAGTCCACATGCCCATGGGGACCATGTTATAGCTTATGTCAGGCGACTGGACGATCTTCCAGGTATAGTACGTCCGTAAGATGGAGGTTATGCATGCGCTGAGGCAATGAATGTTAGTCAAACTTCATGGAAATACCGCAGAAACGCAGGTGTTCGTGACGAAGTTGCGAGACTCTGGCGACATTCACATTTCCGAGCCAGGTTGTGATATGAAGGACTACTCACAAAAGACCTGTCGCGAAGATGGTCGTCATGAGTATCTTCTTTTTCAGCGGTAAGCGTAGCCTCCAGACGCAGGGCATGGGCAGTATTAGTATTGCAAAATCGGAGATGACGTTGAAGACCCCAGTGGCCTGGAAAGTCGCGTCGACGCTGAAACAATGCCCGGTTGTCATCAGCGGGTTCCAAATCTTCTCGCGTGGAGTACATATAGCGATTTCAAACACGGTCTCGGTGAGATAGAATACCAAATTGGTCCAGATGCAGAGGTGAACCCCAACATAGATGAACATGTTGCCTCTTCTGGTGGGTGCGAAGATGCGAAGGTATTGGAGCAGGATGGAAAGTTTGATGAAGAAGACCACAAAGCCGTAGACGACTGCTGAGATGTTGACCCACTAAACATGCTTTCAGTGCCGGGTTCCACCATTATGGCTTCCTCTCGTGATCAGACTCACGTAAAGCATCCTGAAAAAGGTTTGTAGCTGGACGTTCCACATATTGGTTCCCCCGCCATGCCGAGTCACGATCCCGGAAGGGATAGTCTCCCCAATCTGAAGCAGCTGATAAAGTCAGCAGAAGACCGATCCAGTTCCAAGCGGGCCGCTTTACCCATGCTAGGACGATGACATCTAAACGGCTTCAGTAAGGTAACGGCTGCAATCTCACAACGAGGAGGGAAACCTACAATCTTCCCATGCTAGCGCTCGAAGAATGAACACCTTAGTGTACATGCGCAAAAGCACAGCCAGAGTACCGAAAACGACGCAAAGAGCTATCGTCAAGGTGACAAAGACGTCGAGGTTGGGTGGATTGTGGAAATTAGGGATCACTCCTGCCGGAGGGCTCATCGCTGGCCCTTCAAGCAGTGTGCGGAGCGCAGCCTGAGCCTGCTCTGGAGTCATACCCGTGGTCGTACTCGCCATCTTGACGGGATTCAAGTTCAAACGCAAGAGCGATGCTGGAGTTTGAATGGGATCGAATCCAATGACCAAACCACAGCCTTGCACATGCGACGTTGAATGAGTTGTTCGTTTTTTAACCTGATGAAGGAATCCGGAACATATAATCCTGCCAACAGCCGCAGCCTTGCCAACACTCTCCTCCTTCCCCCCCAAACATAAGTTATTACCCATGTGCAAGGGCTAGTCTCCATCCTTCAGCCAAAGATGCTATTGGATCGGGCGCATACATTCTGCACAAGAGTATGCAGAGCGTCTCACTTGAGTTCAACATACTCAATGGTCAGGAACCATAATTGTTGGGAGCGGCGCAATGGGCTGCTCAGGTAGCACAATGGTTGGCCGTTTTCCTCCCAGGATTACGAAGGATTGCAGAAGGTGTACAAGCCAAGTCGGAGATTCGTGCATGAAACATGTACGCGCCGCCGAAGACCTCCATATGGGGCTCGTGGCTTTGTAGATCCTGCCATCTGGACTTGATGCAGCTAAGTCGGGCCACCCATCGCAACAACTGGGGGCCAAAAAGAAGCCACATGCCTGACTTGTTTGTTGAAAGTAATGGTGAGGCGCAGTCCATCGCAGTCCAGCCAGTGCAGCAGTATTTTTCGATATGCCGACTGCGGAAGCTTTCGGCATCAAATCGTCTTTCTCGATGGACTGCAAAATTATCCCACTCTGGACTCTGGTTGAAAGGGAAATGCAACGTTGTGGCGTAACATTGATCTACAGAGCATGTATGCATACAGTGGCCAAGCCTTCGACAAGACTTCTTATCACTAAGATTTCGCTTCGAGTTGCCCATCGATCAATGCCAAGAGAAGAGAGTACATTAACCCTAAGGATTCCGAGGAAAAGCCGCACGCTAATCCCGTTTGAGGTTTTGCAATGCTCGCGAAAACCGCTGCTAGTCGCCTTTGAGGTTTTGACAACCATTAAAGATCGTAAACCTCAAAGATACTTAGGGCAAGGATATTCCTATACTTCGCAATAGGTGTCTTATTCCTTCCCCGCAACTACATCTCATTAATTTTGCTGATATTGGAAGCCATGTTTTTAAGTGCCGAGATGCCATCTCCAGGAAATCTACATCACAAAGTGCAGGAATTCACGAGCGAGATGATCCGCGCGGCGACCGTTACTAGGGGAAGAGAAGATATAAGACGGGTTCGAAGACGGGCAGATACTGGTATCGGAAGCAGACTCGGGCATCGATATCTCCATGCTTGAATGTATCGAAGACGGCGGAGTGCCAGAAGGGGGCAGTAGCATCAGAGCAGAGGAAAGTTGACGTGATTGAAATACTCTATATGTAAACGCAAGGAAATCTGTGATATACTAGGACTAGAAAACCTGAGGTACCACCGCTTGTTGCCTCTCAGCGGACGTCGATTCAGACGCACTCAGATTACAAGAGGTGAAGAGCCTTCCTCCGAGGTCGAGCTTCTGGGTCGTTTGGAAATGCGCTGAGCGCTCTCCAACATCTGCGTTGTATCCGAGTCTGCAGGTACTGGCCTTCTAGGTGGCAACGGAGCTTTTGATGAGTATGTCCCCATGTAATCCCTCTCCCAGCACCAGCCCTTGAGCAGCGGGTCGTACTTTTGCCAGCTCCTGAAGAGATAGGTTTCCCGAGGCAGTCCACCTGGCTCAAACGGACGAAACGGCAGCGCTCCCATGAGCGGGATGCAGTAGTCTGCCTCTCCAAGCAGAATGATAGCCGCGCATTGTCCTTCAGCCTTGTGGAGCTCAGCAATGCGTGCAAGCTGGTTTGCTGGGGACAGCGTTGCTAAGCGATCCTCCTCCGTGTAGTGGTAGATTTGCCGTTCCAGCCACTCGCGGTCGATCGCTTTCAGCCGGTCCATTTCGAAATCAAGATGCGATCCTTGGTAATTCTTCTCTTTCTCTTTAAGGTGATCAATGACTGAGACAAGTCCTTCAATCCTGGAGACTGACGCTGAACAGCTTGTCCTTTGGCGATGATCGATTCGAATACAGAACTCCACAAAATCCTTCTTGTCGCTGTACTCGCATATGTCAAAAGCAGTAGCAACCTGACATGCACAAGGTGGGCAATATATGTACACTCTGACGCGATGACGGGCGTCTACTTCGGGCGCAGGTTTTCCTTCCGTTATTGCGTCAACCTTTAAAGCGTCCAAGTTCTCAACGTAGTTTCCTAAGTTCACGTAGGTGAAATATTGCGGGTGGATATGTTTTGTAATGCGATACCCGGGAGCGGAATGAGTACGGACAGTGCCTGGGGCAATGATGCTATAAATGTTCTGAAAGGACATCGTTCCTAAGCGTGATTGATCACAAGGTGCTTCTGAGCCTTGAGCACGACAAGATTCCGTCAACATAAAAAATATCTGCATTTTAGTGTCCAAGTAGACTATTTCTGTCAGCGTCACTCATGCGGGCTTGTCCGATGACATTTACCTTTTTGATCGCCAAAATGCGTTGGTATCATGGGAACACCAACCTCCGCACCCGAACCGCCCTGAATTGGAAGCTCATAGCGCTCTAGACGTTCGTCCGCCAATCGGTTGTCGAGGGTAGTAACATCAGATGCATCGATCGCCGCGCTTGCTGCTGTCCACCACTTGGGATAGTCATCTTTACATGCTTCTTGGAATAAATGGAGGCTTTGGATATCGTCGACCATTGATGCGATATCGTCCTGTACTTTCTGTTCTTCCAACTCCGATGACACAGGCACCGTTTCATTCAAACCATCGATCAAGTCTCGGATATCGTCTACGAGCTTCTGGAACTTTGTCTCATCATGGATGGCCCACCTAGTCTTATCGAGAACGCCGGGTCCTTGAGACTGTCGACGCAATCGAAGACGAAAACGTTTGAGGGCGTTGGAGCTGATACCTGATTGTGGGACTGTATCATCGGCAGGAGTGTACGCTCGTAGCCCGTATCTATTTGTGAGAATTTCGGTATCTTTCAGAAGGTGTCGGATACTGTCAAGGCATCTTTTGGTCAGATCCTGGCGTTTGTGGTCGCTCTCGGAGTGAGACCCCGCATTTTGCTGCTCCCCATTGCAGACTCCAGCAAGGTCTCCCCAGACTAGAAGACGCTCTTGTTGGTATTCTAGCTTGACCAGAAGAACTTCGAAGTTTTGCTCGAAACCTTTGGCTGCCTTGAAGTATTCGAAACACTCGACGCATGTTGTAAATAGGGCGGCTACTCCTATACTCAGACTGATTGGCTCCACGGGGACCATGCTGTTATCATCCACTCTAGTGAGATCAGCTGAGGAAAGAGTCTAACGTTCTAGCAAAGTCAGTCTATGAAAGGATTTTATATCTGTAGGTAACAAGGCTGATTCGTGGCTGAGTCAGCGGCAATGCCCCCTCAGCCGCTCAGCCACCACAGACTGCTCGACGCTATAACGCTTCGTTCTTGCTAAGCTAGATAGTAGAGACAAGAAAGAGTCGGAATCCAGACGCGATGCCTTTATGTGCCGTTAAGGTAACATTCGAGACATTTTTCGCCGTGCTAAAAGGCCTTCCACTTCACACCTTACAGTTCATTCTCACCGCCTTCTGGCTCATAACGGACCATCTCAAGGAAGACGCCGAGAAGCACAAATCATGGCCAAGCATTTCTATGCTAATCATCAAAACTTGAACCCGCTCTCAATGCCTCAGAATCTCAGCCTCCATTACCATTGGCTCCCACGCAAAGAGCCGTTCTTTCCCACAAAGGCCATCAGAAAGGACAAAATTTCTCCACAGAGCATCGCGCGTCTTCTCCATTCAGATCTTCCCCAGTTTCTTGGCCACATAGGCCAATCTCGTGACTTTGTACAGTCTCCAGTCTCTTGCCGCCTCTGAACCATCGTTGCCACCAAGCAAGCGTATAAGAGGATGCTCAGGTGAGACACAAATGTGCAGATTATCCTCGTAGACGGCGTTGATAAGCTTCGAGAAAAAGTCATCGATAAGATACGGCCCGTTAGCATATTCTAACTTGACGGTGTTGATTTAGAGAAGGCATGGCATTTGACAGGCATTGGAAGCGCGTTGGTTTGGAACGCCCATTGAGACGTCGGAGATTGACCTGAGAAGGCGATCGAGAGCGGTGCCGAGAGCGAAGAGCGACTGCTTGTAGGCGCTTGGCGAGGTTCTGTAAGGGCAGGCTGTATGTGATGGTTCGTTGGGATCTGAGTAGACTGAGTGACTATATGGGTACACGATCAGCTTGTAGAAGAATTCGATAAAGCCTTGACACGCAGGGGGTCCTTTGATGTTTCTGGTACAACCAGCGACGGCAGATTAGGCGATGCGACAACTCTGCCGTATCTGCTAGCGCTCCCAACACCAGAGTTCCTGATGGTAGTATCAGCTACCAAACGCCCATCAGAATTGATAGTTCCAAGACACTGGCCAAGCTAGTACTGCCTTCAAAGAATAATTGCATCGAATGGCGCCGAAGCCACCTCTATATGTTACAACCTTTCTCAAGCCAATCCAGTGTTGTCACGCGACCTCGCTTCGTGGCCTGCAACAACAGTAACAGGCTCATAGGTCTTATTCACGTCTTCTAAGCAATGGCAAAATCCAATTTCAAGGCTATAGATGATGAAAAGCGTTAAGCTTGGCAGCATTTGGTACTTGTTGACCTCTCTCTGGGAGGAAGGAAGAGGCATTCACTTCCTCGATGTCACTCTTAATGACCACTACCGCAATAGCCGAGGCGGCACCATGACTTCTAATCATTCATAGCAGCTTTAGTAGTTATTACCGCTGCCGCCATAGATACTTCACCATCACTTTCACCTCCGTGTTATTGACAGCTGCTTTGATACTCATCACCACTGCCGCCATAGACGCTATCCATCACTCCCACTTCCCTTTCATTCACAGCAGCCGTGACAACCACCACCATCACTCCCACTTCCCTTTCATTCACAGCAGCCGTGACAACTACCACCATTACTGCCATAGCCGCTATACTCTCACTTCCACTTCATTCACAGCAGCTGTGATATTTACCACTACCGCCATAGCCGCCATATCTTTACTTTACCCTCACTTCCAGTTCTTTCATATCAGCCGTGAAACCAATCACCATTACCGCCATAGCCGCTGTACTCTCACTCCCACTTCATTCATAGCAGCTGTGGTATTCACCGCCATAGCCGCCATTTCATTAAAGTACTTTCACTTCCAATTTATTCACAACAGCCGTGATACTTACCACCACTACCGCCATAGCCGCCATACCATCACTTTCACCCCTATCCTCTTCATAGCAGTGATCGAATTCACCACATTAGCCGCCGAAGCGAAATACCATCCTGTGCTGCCTCGTCACTCCTCTTCCCGTTTCATTCACACACACACATGCGTCTATTTCCCGCTCCCGGCGATTATCATAACAACAACTCTAAACTATCAACCATGGACAACAGCCTTATCCCATTGGCAACAGAAGGTGCCGCGCCAAATCCACCCGAGGCTGTAAAGCAATGCAAGAAGCGGACCAAGTGGTCCAAACCAACGGATCCATCTCTCGAGCAGAGATATGGTTCGAAGGAGATAGCCCTGGACGTAAGCATCCAGATCCACAGTGATGTACTAGGACCCGAGCTAAGAAAGGGCTGTTATATAGGCCGAGGAATTCTCGAAAAAGGCCCCTCCTCAGTTATGTTTGGAGGATCAAGCACACTGGGAGAGACTTCGCCCAGGTACGTAGAACTTCTACCAATCGATAAAAGCGTGTGTCTTTGTTATATCTACCGCCGCTGACTTCAATTTTTAGCTTTACTAAAATTTCACGCGCGTGGGAGTGACTTCAAGAACACCCACTCCTTCCAGAGTCGGTAAGTTCAAACAATGCTTCGAAGACATTATACAGGGCTGCTAACGCGTCTTGATAGCCTTACTCAGATAAGGCGAAGCCTTCGGGGTCTGCAGGAAGTCTCGAATGGCACCCGTGCCAGATTTAAGATCTTCGATCATAAGATCCGGCCTAAGGGCAAAACTGCCGCGCGGGTAGGCAAAGGTCCTGGTCAAATTATGCATGAGAGGTTTGGTTGGATGAGGGTAGTCTGTGGGCCGAGTCCGACAAGATCGAGGGGTGACGGATCTAGCAGGCATCCCATAATGCTAGACTGAGCCTGTGGGAATGGATCCATTGCGAGTCACTGGTAGCAATCGATAGAGAGCATGCGTTCAAGAGACTAGCGAGCATGCGTTCAATTCAAGTTGTTAAAAACCGGCCTTAAAATTGCTTTCAACAAAGGGTGCTCGAAGTTTTCTGCGAGTTATTCTCCCAGCTGTTCTCAGTGACTTTCCAGATTCTAGTTGACTTTCTTTCTTGGTTGTGCACGTATTTCACTAGTGCCTACTTGATGTTGATGGCTCTTGCGGGAAGCGAAGCCATTGCTTGCTAAGCAAATCTCTTTGGTTTCGGCGAGGGAAACAGATTGTTCCAGCCTCCGAGGCAATGCAGGCGCGAGCTGAGGTTGGCTAGCACTGTATGGCTATCCCGAGGTCGCCTGCCTCAGTGGCGGTAACATTCGAGGGTATCTGGCAAATCTATTCGAGCTTCGGAAAACATCGATGTAGGAATCTGCGTCCCATGAATGCCTGTATTTAGGAAGGTAATATTGGACGTATAGCTTGAAGATTGGATGCCTATAACGCCATCGGTATAAGAGTCAGGTCCCTTTGGTCTCTCAATTATCGCGATGCATACTCGTGAGATAACAGCACGGAGTTAATCCTCTTTATACCTCTGTCTTGTATGCTGAACAGCAAAGTTCTGAAGTGCAAACAAGCAACCCTTCACTGGCCTGTCTACTTCCGCACACATTTACTTACTGACGACGAGACAGCGCAGTCACACTGTGCACGATGGCTGACACACCTTCTCCAAACAAATCCACCAGAACACCACGTCTCATATTGCGTGAAGCCCGCAAAGGGGACCTCGCCGCCATTCATAAGCTGTACAGCAATGAGGAAGTAATGAGATACTGGTAGGTCGTCTCTAGATTTTCAACATCATATCTTAACTAATTTAGTCCCTCTGAGCGCAGGTCTCAACCCCACGATTCTGTGTCCCGAACGGCAACCTATCTCGAAGCCATGGTCACCTCATCAACAAACGGAGACCTTGCGTTTGTCCTCGTCCTACCCCCATCTGCCACCACGATAACTACTTCCACAACTCCTGCCGGCACCACAATAGACGAAGGCAAAACCATAGGACATGCAGGTATCTGGTACGCCGACCGGAACGAACTTGTGTTTATGATCGATAACGCCTACTGGAACCGAGGCTACATGACTGAAGTACTCGCAGCGCTCGTCCCCATCTTCTGGGAGAAGGGGTTGAAGAAGGTATACGCGGACGCGAACCCGGATAATGGGGCTAGCCTCAAGGTGCTGAGGAAATGTGGATTCACTCAAGTGGGGGGGAACATTGTAGAGTCTTTGGCAGGGGAGTATGAGAGCCTGCGCATGGAATTGGCAAACCCACGTGATGGAGAGGAGGAAGGAGAGTTTGATTTTGCGGATGAAGGGTCAGATTCCTAGCTCCGGGGATAATGATCGGGGATAAGGATGCGTAGCTCAATGGCGCTGAGGTCCTCACCTCTTCCTTCTTGCCATTATCCAATGGCGAACACGCCGTGCAATTCAACCGTGTATCTGATCGATCACTTCCCTCGCCTTTATACAATTGTTTGCCATTGTATCCTTCGCAGTCGCAACAGGCAGCGTAGCAGCTTACTCCTACCTCTTGGTGCCCTCCATTCGTAGCAGCTCTACCCCTGCCATCCTAGCTTAATAATGGCGCACAGGCTATCTCATTGGCTTTCGTACGATCCCGTGCCCAGTATTCCCTGCTGGCTTAGCTTGGGCGTGTCTCGCCTACGATGGTGTGCTCTACATTCTATCGCCCATGTCCTACTATCTCTCAGACCAGCTAACACCGAGGGTGTGTAGAGCCAAATGGAAGTCCAAGAACCAAGCCCTTTATCGCAGCAGCAATCCTTCTACCTATCATCATACCCTTCACCCTTACCGCCCAGCGACGCATAAACGCCAAGCTGAACCACAATCGAATAAGTTGATTGGGAAGGGTAAATTGTCAATTGCGGAGACACATAGCGCGGTGCCCAGCGAGCAGGACATTGGCGAACTGCTCGATGAGTGGGGTAAACAGAATGCTGTGAGGGCGGCGATTACGGGGATGGGGACGGTGCTGGGTGCTTGGGGCGTGCTGATGGCATGATGTGGGAAAAAGGGATCTGGCAGAGTCTCGGAAAGAGACTCCGATGGAAAAATATTAAGAAGCTTAAGAACTTGGGGGGAAGGATAAGGAACAGATAAAGTACAAGGGAGAATGGCGAGGAACGAGACTAGTGAAGACGAGGCAGAAGAGAAGCGCAGGTGCTGGGGACTCGGCCCACAGCTTCCGCGAAGGAACATGCCCAGACACTTTGTCTGTAGACATCTGCCAGCAACACTCGACATAGATTGCAGACTTGATTCCCATGCCTGAGACTTTCGCCGGTCGAGGTGCGCTGGATGAGGTGCTGCAATAATCACAGTTCTATCTGGAGCACAAAATAAAAAGCAGCGCTCTGGAGACATCGGTTGTCATCAGCATTTCTATCGAAGCCTGTGAGGAACATTCCGGAGATTTTCGGCATAACGAGGTCTAGCAGGCTGAATACAGAGCCCTGGATCTGTTATAGAGCTCTCTTCTTCTTCTTTGATCCTGTAATTCGGATACACACGTCGTAAAATTAAAGTTATAGTGGCTGTGTTTTGAAACTGGGCTGCAAAGGGCTGCAAACACTTACTTGATTTGGCTTTATAGCCTTGCTGCGATGTTATTCCCCTGGCCTTGCTAGTGATGTGGAGGCTTAGCACGTACAGACACAGAAAGTTTGAGGACACCAAGTCCCTAGTATTCATTAGGTCAAGCGTGTCGAGGAAGCTTTGGTACATTGATCTTGCCTTTGCGGAATCCGTCAGCCTTCTCATATTTTTACCTCTCGACAGCAGACGCAAGTTGGAGCTGGACTACTGGTAGATAAGGTCCGCTGATAACCCACATGGTTATGTTGACAGAAAGTATGCAAGCATAGACTCTGCCACCGGAGAACCTGGGAGGCGTGGAGCTTGGTCCCAGGATGAAGATGTTTCGGTCTCGGATATTTTCCATGCTCGAACGGTCAGACCTTCGCAAACTATCCAGATCAAGTCTCCGGAAGAGCGTAGAGAGCGACATGAACAGTCTCAGCATAAAGCCCTGCTGGCTCGGCAAGATATGGTGTAGAGGATGTAATGGTATCTCCGCATAGCTTTTATGTGTTGATGGTTGATCTACATAATCTACCAGGGTGCAAATCGACGGTTGATACAGCCTTTCCGGCTGAGTCGGTCCCCACCTGGACCGTGACTGCCTGCCATTCGCGTCAATTTTCGTTGTTGAAAAGTAGTTGGAGTATGAGTGCGTTACCTGCCAAGGGCTATCAGGTCCGTACGACTTCGTGCTCCAATTGACGGCTACGGGGCCGCTTCTAAATACTCGTACGGCGGTCATACCGTACAGGAGGAGGTGCGTGTAAGATAGTAGAGGTCGCATCGTACCAGGGTCAAGAAAGACTTGGGTGGAAGTAAGGAAAAAGCCCACGAAATACAGATTGACACTAGTGGTATAGATGGGAAGAAGAGGAAATTTGTTGTATGTCGAGGTATCATTTCAAAATTGTGCTCTTGTGAGGCTGAAGTGCAAGCGTTCAACCGGGCTATGGCGGCTCAGATCCTTCGCTTCAATAGGCTTCAAAATATAAGCCCCAAAGGAGTGTTACATAAGTCGCTGACTGGACTCGCACAGCCGCTGTCCCTTGGCAATACTAACCATGAGTAGTCGGGCTTGATATCAGGTTTCTTTAGCATAAGCACTCACACTTGAGCGTAGAAGGAGAAGAGGTGACGAAAAGTCAGATGGAGTGGTACGGTACATTTACGGCGGTTGGAGTCCTTGGGACACAGTGGTTTCGTAGACTTGAAAATGTCTTGCACAGCCATCTCTAGATGGTCTCTAACTCTAGCACATGTGTAATAAGATGCTGCCAATTATCAGAGGATCTTGGCACCAGCTGACATCCGGAAGGAATGCAGATATGGGGGGCCTCTGAGACAAAGCATCGCTGACAGCTGAGCGACTCGGTCCTCAGAAATCTTGCTCCACAAGCCAAGCTCAATCCCAGAGAAATAAAAATAGCCGAACTGGATCACAGGCTAAGTACCTCGCCTCTGTCAGCCCTTACTCATAGCACTGCACACTGTATTGGCAGATTGCATGTGGGCATCTGGAGAATGCGGCTCTGGATTGGGTACACGATGTGAAGATTTACCACGAAGAGAAGACTGAACAGTGCAACTTCAAGGCTTGTGGCCACTGTGCGCAGACTGCCGAGAGACTGATGCGTCACAGCTCGGAAAGTCAGTTCAACGACAACGAAGGCGGGAACGGCCTTGGCGAAGGGAGCAGCGGGGCCAGCATTATCGTTGGGCCTTACTCGCCTCCGAAGAATACGTTGGTATGATCGCCTATGTGAGGCATATCACGAGCAGGCTCGATGATTTCCGTAGGGATCTAGGGTTGAAATTAGCAATCGGAAGTGAGAGATATTTTCGAGCACGAGAAGCGCTGTCATTCTGTCACGGTCACGGCTGGCGAATGACTGATTTCTTGAGAGGAGTCCACACCTCCAATATGACTGATGGTACCTGGCATTTTCTAATGAAGTATATCCAGCCATCTAAAGAAGTATTGAAGCCTTCTGGCAGCCACACAGCTCTAGACTATTGCATAGGTTGACTCGCTCAAAAGGACCTAGGACCCAGTACTGTCGTTGCATCTCCGGTCTCTTCCAGGTTAGGTACGGCCTATGTAGGTAAGATGAGATGTTCGAGAACCGTACTCAACACCCGATGGACATTTGTACCAGAAGTAATAATATCAAGCTGGGCGGTGGAAGCCGAAGATGTTTTCCTGCTACAGGGGACACCGGAGTTTAGCCGTGCACGCTTCCCAACCTGACCGCGGAAACCCTCCACTCTATACCCGATATGGTAAGCTCGGATGTCAGAATAGCGTCTGAGGACTGAGGCAATGCTCGACCGACTAATCGTAGTCCGACTATTCGCTTCGCTTATAGTAGTCTTTAACTTAAAGACGCATTAGTCTTAAAGACGCGAAAATCTATTATTTCTTTCTAATTCTATATAGATCTTATTCTATAACTCGAATTCTAATAAATATATCTTAATATATATATACTAGCTTTTATAGATTATAATTTAACTTTCGAATATAAGTCTTAATAGTCTTATTAATCTTTTCTTATTAAATTTTCTTAGCTTAAGTAACTCGCTTTAGAGTCTTCTCCGTCTTTTCTATAGCTATTTCTTTTATTATAGTTAGAGATTTATATATTTAATCTATTAATATCTATTCTCTTTTCTAGATAATCGTTTTAGAAAATATCTTATATACTCGCTTAATTACGGCCTTTTTATAAATAGCCTTAATATCTCGCTTAATAATTTATCTTAAGTAGTTATTAATAATAGATTCTTTTATAAATTAAGCTAATAGCTATTATATATTCTTTAAAATAATAAAAGTTTAAGTAGTAAGTAGTTTTTTAAATTATTAATTATATTTAATAACGTCTTCGACTTTATAAGAGATTTTAATAAGTATAAGAGATATAAACTCGTCTAAAGTTATAGCGTAAGATATTAGATTTCTAATTTTTTCGAGTATTACTTTAGAGTTATAAAGTATAAAATTAATTTTTTAAAAGGTTGAATATATAATATTAGATATAAAGGTTTAAATTTTTATTTAATTAAATATTATAAGAAAGTTAAGTCTATTAAAGTCGCTACTTTTAAGATATATAGTTAAATCTATAGTCTTTATATAATAATATTTAAATAATTAAAAGTATTTTATATTTAATAACTATATAATATATATAGAATATAGAGAAAGTATAAATAAGTCGATCTTTAATTATTAAGTAAATATATGAAATTTGTAGATATAGTAAGATTCGAAGCTATTTAGAATTAAGATTCTCTATTTTTTTACTTAACGATGATAAGAAAATATATTAAAATGTAATAGCTAGTTATATATTAGTTAGTTATTTAAATATTTAATAAGTAAAACGATTAATATAGTATTCGAAGATAAGTCGTTTTTATCTTATTTATATAGAATATAAGTATTTTTTAGAATTATAAATAGAGGTATACTCTAGTCTTTAGCGCTAATATATTCTATAGATATAATATAATTATAATTATCTAGATCTATAAATTATAGAGACTTATTTTTATTTAAAGTAATATTATAATAAATAATTTTATAGTTAATTCGAAAGTTAGTCTTATCTATATTCTAAATATCTTAATATTATATATTCTTCTCTTTATAGTCTTATCGAAATTTCTTATATATTATACGTATACTCTTAATATTATATATATTCTTATACTCGATATTAAGAGATTTTTACTTTTATTTATAATATTTAAAATATTATTTTATAAATTATATAGTCTAATTTTTATTAAGTAATTTAGAAGAATAATACGAATTTAAAGCGATTTTTAGAATATATTTAATAGTACTTTAAATATAATTTAATTAAAGTAAATACTCGATATTATCTAAATAATTAATATAGTTATATAGCGATTATTTTTAAATCGTAGTAAGACGTATATAAATAGATATTTAAGTATTTCTAAAAGCTTATCCCCGAAGTCGTTTTTATATCTATCGCGATTTAAGATTATAATACTCTATAATCGCTGTAGCGCTATAAAAATAATCTTCTAGACGAGTTTCTTTTACTTAGAATAAGATATAGATATAGTATAATAGAATAATAGTGGATTATAATATAGGGTGTTAAATCGCGAAAAAACGCGTCTTTAAGACTAGTGCGTCTTTGAGTTGCGGACTACTATAAGCGAAGCGAATAGTCGGACTACGATTGCTTGATTCCTTGACTCGTACACGAAGCACTGCTCTCTAGAGGACAAGCGAAAGCTTACCTTTCATTAAATTGTACGAGCCTACCAATCGGCGCCGCCGTCGATGTCGTACTGGGGCTGCTGAGCCGCCAGTTTCACTCTTGACTCCGCCATCCTGCGCTCCATCTAGGAACACGTACAGCATTGCTCAGCGCCTATGCCTCTCATAGGATTTCAGCCGCACCTTCAGATTTAGCCCCAATATGTAGTTCCTAGTCGCTATGTTGTCTCGTCTTCTGCCATCATCTGCCACCAGCAGGCAGCGCCATGGACGGCGGTCTTGAGGTCGATGGACGCAACAACCTGCCCATTCCATACCAGAAGCATGGCGAGGATTATAAATACTACAATGGAGAAGAGCAGCATGATCAGCCATCGTACGAAACATACTCGACGGAACCACTCACGAAGAGCAAACGCTTATGCGGGCTACGGCCCGCGACATTCTTCCTCAGCATCGCATTGGCCGTATCCGTTGTGCTCGCAGTCGTTGCAGCCGGTGTAGCGGGTTCATTGGCTGCAAAGAGAGGGGACACCAGGTACGTACCGCGTACTGCATACTCAGAACGAGCAAGAGACTGATTGCATCACTTACAGGACCGTCGCCCAATCCAATTCATCCTCCTCCATACCAGCCTCCAATCCCTCCTGCCCCTCTTTCAACGACACCTCTACCCTCCCCGTCTACTCCTACCACATCAACGACTCCCCATTCCAACCGACCTCCAATTGCACTTCCCTTGGCTCCACCTACACCTCCCTCTTCACCAGCGCCAGCTTCAAGCTCCAATGCGGCCTCGACCTACCTAGCAACAATCTCTACAGTGTCTTCGTCTACTACTTCACCGACTGCTTGGAAGCATGCGCAGCCGTCGCCAGGTATCCCGGGCTGAATCAGACATGCTATGGCGTTGCCTTCGATACCAATTATGACGTGACACCGGAAGGCCAGTATGGGAATTGTTTTTTGAAGGATTCGCCAGATATCACCGCGAAGGCGGCCAATGTGAATTTCACGTCTAGTGCAGTGCTGGTGGGCAGTTAGCCACGCGGAATGAAGATGTCGTGATATGGTCCATGGTGCCTGCGTTGCCCGGAACAGTGGGAGAGATGATATCTATACATGTGTTGGCATGAACCTCGAATTGTACATGTATCGGGATGAAGTGCGAGCTTGCATCTAAGGTATCGGAGCCTAGCTAGTGGCGTTTTGGAAGAGGTTCAAGGTTGCCTAGAAGAGACGTGTTGAGGTCATGTATGTCCGCATTGAGTTGCAGTTCGAGCTTGCACCGAATATTGGTAGTCAATTGACAACAAATAGATGGAACGAGCGGAGTATGCACGGAAGATCCTATACCATTTCTTTTCAACAGGGCTGCTGTTCAGCTCCAAAAGCTTTCTTGCGGACAGTGACTGCACAAGAGCACATCACTTGAATGACATCTTCGATCCGGCTACTTTGGCATCATTCTGGGCATTCTACGAGACTGGGGGTGCAATTTTCACTTGAAACCCACTCCATACCTCTTCAAAACGCCAAAGACACAAGTACAGATCTTTAGCAGGCAACATTACTTTTGCAGCTCGAGCAGAAGAAGGTCTGCTACGAATCCCATCGCATCAGCCGATGTCTACAACCTCGGCAGCCCGCACACCGCACTGCTGGTTCTCTCGAGGTTGTCCTGCCGAGGTTGTTTCCTTCTGCCATCTTCCCTATTCCGAACACTCATTTGCTCTCCTCGTGCCCGGCTGGAGTCCGGTATACCATATTGTGGGGGGGAAAGTTGTGCAACCCAGTGATTCTGTCGTATTCACGTCATGGGACCTTTGCCTTGAACGTTGCAATGGACATTAATACCTGCCAATCTTGTTGCCTGTAGCCAGCAAAGATCGACTCAGCAGTCATTCTGCCCTGTCATCACCACGTGTAGCAGTACACCATGTCATCGAGCAACAATCCAAATACCAAGGAACTAGACAACCCAAGGATCGCACAGGAATTTGAACTTAGAGAATCCACCTCCTCAAGGCCGGCAAGATAGTGGCGAGTAACCCACTCCAAACTCACATCTCAGTACATCAACTCAGGTCGACCAACTAACACCAGTCAATCAAAAAAACGGCAGGAAATAGGACGCCTAATAGGGCACCATCAAGAAGATCGCACTTCGAGAAGAATCGATGTCGTAGCACAGGTTCGAAAGCTATTCAGACAGGCTGCAGACCAGGTGGCGAGTTTTGACGACAGGGTGCCCAAAGCTGGACAAGAAGCATGACAAAGAAGCCGAAGGCGAAAAAACCACCGCGATTGTGCCGCAAAGGGATGTGAAGGATGTATGACCAATCGTGCCAAGAATACGCGGGGCGACGCACGGTGGTGATTTGACGATGGGAAACCTCGAACCTCATACGGAGCTAGTATCAGTATTCAAAGGTTGGTCACTGGAGTGCTGGGCGCTCATTAGGAAATCAAGTATCTCGGGGCAATCGAGCAATCTCATCCCAGGAAGATTGTTCCGGTATCCATCAGCTCCTCCTGGCAAATTTTGACTCCGACATGCCGTCCCTGGCGATTCTGCCTACACACCAGCTTCTCCAGCTTTTTCCCCATCCGGGGTTCTGCAAGACTCCAATCGAAGAATCCAATCATTGAAACCAACACATCTCATTGTTCAGCGCCACCAGCTGACCTCTTACAAAAATCTCCCGTCTCGCCACAAGCAAATCCGAATGCTAGGATCTGCCCGCCTTTAGCGACTACATCTGCGAAGCCACAGCCTATGGCATCATAAGAGCCCGAGACGTCCTTCGAAGCGGTCACTTTCTTGAACACAGAAGATGCAGGCGGCCCAAAAACCCTCAAACACCAAATCTGTGTCATCTTTTTGTCTGCGGGCGTCGGTAGCGCGGACAGATTCCTAGCTAAAGCAGCTTACAAGGCGATTCCCGACCTCGCATACATCTGCACTACGAGCTTTCATGCAGATAGTGGGAAGAGGACTGTGCGAGGGAGCTTTCTTGTTGAGGAATGAATGACAGGCGAGTGGGTTAAAAAGGGCAAAGTGATTCGGTCGGTTGAGTGAGACTGTCCGTGCAGTTGCGAAAGACTGGATAAGGAGATATGGGTGATAGTATTGGCTGAAGTTTGAAGGCTAATCAACAAAAGTATTAGGGTTCGGTGCTATTTACCTCGAGTAAGGTACGGAGATATTCGGGTCTCTTCTAATCACCGGCGTCCAAGGTCTCGAACATGGGCCCAAGCGAACATTGGCGGGCCTATGAGGCTATGAGGCTATCAATCATTTCCAAGCTCTCCTCCCCGTGTCCCCGTTGCTGCATAGCGGTAGGAACACCCCACTCCCTTTGATATCCGGCTAGGTAGATTGGCCAACACACACCGCCATATTTCGTCATGCCCTAACCCATGTCGGCCCGAAAATCACGCTAGCCTTTATGCGGCTAAAAGTTCCAATAGCAATTTGTACTCATATGGCCAGGTACACCCTACACGCAATGCCTCAAACAAATCCCTCAATGGCCCTAATTATGTGCCCCTATGTGATTCATATCCATGGTTCTATCGAAAGGATCGACTCGCCACAGACTGAAGCTCACTCTCGTCCAGACCTTCTTTCTTTCAGAGTTTATAGACTCTAACACATTTCTTGCTATACCTTGAACCCTCCCTCGAACAGCATCGAAGCATGCTCTGAAGAGCCACCGCCTCACACGCCATGGATGGTGCGAAAGAGTCCCGGTCCTTTCTGAGGAAGATCCGCTCATCCAAGGCGTTCATATTCACAGTCATCAATTTAGCCGTCTTCAGTCTGTAAAAGTCTAGGCTAAAAGTCTTGCCCAATGCGAGATCACTGACTCCAAGCGCTTCAGCGGACGCCTACCTGTATGCTCTGATCATCCCCGTCCTGCCATTCGCTCTGGTCGAAAGGGTACAACTCCACGAGGACGACGTACAGCGATGGATCGGTATTCTACTTGCAGCGTACGGAGGCGGTCTTCTCGTGGGATCCCGTGAGTCTTGTCGTTCCTTAGCTTTGATATCAGATATTCTGTCCTGTTCCGTGTTGCTAATGATGCTGCAAAGCAATCGCGGCATGGTTCGCGGATCGAGGTGAATCCCGTCAAGGTCCCTACCTCTGGGGGCTGATTGCCTTGGCGGCGTCCACGGTGGCTTTTTCGTTGGGACAATCGACGTCAGTGCTCTTGGTGGGAAGACTGGTTCAGGGAGCCTCTTCGGCTATTGTGCATACCGTGGGAACGGCCATCCTGGCCGATACAGTCGGCCAAGCCGGAGTCGGACCCGCCATGGGTTTTATTGGGATGAGTATCGCCCTTGGGGTACTGGTCGGTCCCGTAGTTGGTGGTGTATTGTATCACAGCTACGGATATCTCGCCGTGTTCATTTCCGGCTACGCGGTACGTATCTTGCCCTAGTCGTAGTCTCAAGTTGGCTCAATTTCCAGAACTCTCGACGTCTCATTCCGTTCTTAAACAAAAAATCACTAATCGAGTCCGCACAGCTTGTTGCGCTAGACTTCCTCCTACGAATACTCATGCTGCCAAGCCCAAGGAAGGCCAACATTCAAGCAGACGCAACATACGGGACGTTTTCCCACGACCAAGACAACGCCGAAACCCCACCAGATGAAACCCAGCGCCGAACGAGTCGCTCATCAAGACCTCCACCCACATCCTCCACAAACCCATCACCACCTCCGACCCCCAAAGCAACACCCCCCACGCACCGCCACCCAATGCTAACCCTCCTAACCACGCCCCGCATGCTCGCCGCCATCCTCGCAGACTTCATGCAAAGCGTCGTCCTCACCGGCCTCGAAACCATCCTGCCCCTCCGCATCAAGCTCCTCTTCCACTACAACTCCAAGCAGGTAGCCCTCGTCTTCCTCGTCCTGACCATCCCCTCCTTCTCCGCGCCCGCCGTCGGCCTCCTCAGCGACCGAGCCGGCGCCAAACCCATCGTCGCCCTCGGCTTCACCGCCCTCGCCCCCTTGCTCGTACTCCTCCGCCTCGTCACGCACGACTCCGGGGCCCAGGTCGCGCTCCTGTGCGCGCTGCTGCTGCTCATCGGGGTGGCGCTGAGCGCGCTGGCGACGCCCGCGTTCGCGGAGGCCATGTACGTCGTCGACGACGCGGCGGCGGCGCGGCCGGGGGTGTTTGGGCCCAAGGGGGCGTATGCGCAGGCGTTTGGGCTGATGACGGTGGCATATGCGGCGGGGTCGCTGGTGGGGCCGTTCGTGGGCGGGTTGATGGCGGAGCGGGTGGGGTGGGACAGGGTGACGCTTGCGAGCGGGGTGCTCTGCGGGTTGTGCGCGTTGCCGTGTCTGTATGCTACTGGGGGGAGGCGGCGGGCGGTATCGTCGGTGGGAGGGCAGGATTCGGGGTCTGGAATGAGTGGGTGATGAGAAAGAAGGCTTAGACGCCAGATTCAGGTCGTTTAACGATGATTATGACGAAAAGGATGAATACGATGATATATAATTAAATACTCATTAGCATCCCAGAGAGCCTACAACACAACAAATATAGAAGTCAGCTCTGCATGGCCTGTCCCTAATCTTACGCTACAATCCTCATATCACAATACCATCTCATGCCCTCCACCTACCTACCTACCCGCATCGCAGCACATCAACTCCGTCCAATATCCCCGCAGTGACCGTATACTCCACTGTCCAGCTAACACTCACCCGACTGGTTCCCAAACTCCAACATCCGCGGAACCATCCCGTCCTCAAGTGTATATAGAAATGAAGCACTCAATTGAGCGCGCAGAAGAGAGCTGAAGCGGCGCAAATATGCGATGTAGAGGCAGGCTACCTACGACCATGAAAAGGAACCACAATTCCCAAGGCCGAGAATTGGCGACGTGTTTAATAGGAAGAGGGTGAGCTCGATTGTGCAGCCGGAGCTGCTTTGATACTGCAGCAATAGTTGGGCGTGGATAGGGATTTTTATTACGTATATTGAATGCAGACTGCAACATACTGGGATGAGATCTCCACTCCGATAAGCGTGACAAAGCGGCGACGGCGTGAGGACTACAATGATATATGAGAGAGGACTCCGCACATCCTACACCTATTCCACCACCGAGCTCATAGCTTAGTGTTCCATTGTGCCTGTATCATCGCATCGAGGGAGCGTATCCCCACGATGCCCTTCCGATCCTGAACCTGCACCGAGTCGATATGTTTACAGCGCTCGATCCTGTCCTGCGTGATAATGTAAGCCTGTGGCAAGTTGCCATCCGTAACGAGTCTGTTCTGGACGTCGTCAATAGCGACACCAGCTTCCTGCGCCAAGAGCATTTCCACAACGGCCTTGCCGCACAGCGTACCGTTGGGCATGCCGTGGCCTGTTAAGGTTTTGTCATCAATATATATGACTTGCCGGTTACTGGAGGGGATTCTACGTACCAGAGTAGCCACCGGCAAGCCAGACACCTGGCCTGCTGGGAACGGCGCCAACCCACGGGTGGTGGTCTTTCGAAGTGCCCCAAATGCCAGACCACTGATGCGTCATTTTCAGCTCTTTCAAGCCGCCAGTCTCGCCCCCTAGTATAAGCAACTTCAACAGTGCCTCCCTCAGATAGCTCGCCGAACCTTCGTCCAAGACAGAATCATCCGTCTCACCGATCATGTTCAGCTTCTTTCCGACATAACCACCACCAAACATCAGATGGCCGGCCGGATTCGGCACGCCGGAGAAGGGCCGCTGATTCAGGTAGTCATCGTGGATGGGATTCCCACCAAGCGCACCGACGAAACCGTAGGAGTCCTCGAGGGGCTTTGACTTGGCGGGAGGAAGGAGGGCGGTCATAACTCCGCGCTCGGGCACTATGAGGTCTGCGAATTCCGGGAGGAGATGCGACGTGTATGCATTTGTGGCTAAGATGACATGGCGCGCTTTGATGGTACCGCGGGGTGTATGCAGGATGTGCCTTGGCCCAGTCGGCGCGGGGCCTTCAGGATCATCCGTGCACGGTTCAATCTTTGTGACTGGCGTCTTCGTCTGTAGATTCAAGTGACCCTCTTTGATAAGATCTTCGAGGATAAATGCGATAAGCTTGTACGGCCAAAGACTACCGGCACATGCGGATAGGGTTGCGCCCGGCGCGCCATTCACCCTGTGTCTCCGCAATGACTCCTCGTCATCAATGACTGTGACCTCCTTGCCCAACTCGGGAGCATGCCGTTTCAAGTCTCTCACGTCATCCGCAGCTGCCTTTGCTAACGGTTCGGTCCAAAAGGTCCTGCAACCTGTCAACGAGCGCCACTCACACGGAACGTTGTGCTTTTTGATGTAAGACTTGACAGCGTTATAGTTGCGAAGTTCGAACGCCGCGACATCGGGGGTGGAGTCGAATAGGAGGGGCTGGCAGTGACCTCCATTCTACAGATACGGCAGTGACGTTGTTAGAGCTGTAGGGAGACACCGAGAGAGAGAAAGAGAGAGTATGTGGTTCATCATACTCTACCCGTCGCACACCAGCATGCCTCTCGCGCATCAAGCATTACGACTCTCAATCTTTTAGCTCTTGCGTCTTCGGCCAAGAACCTGGCAGCAGATGCTCCAGTGATACCTGAACCAACAATGACAATGTCCGCCTCGGTGGGAAGATCTGGCGTTGTTCGGTGGCCGAGAAGGAAGTGGGAAGGCTCACTGTGCCAGAACGAGGCCGTCGAGTTTTGAGTGGGCAGGCTGGCCATGACTTCACGTTATGGATGGTGTCTCTATTCGCAATGCTGATAGACCTTCCGCTCCTGTGCTTCTCCTTGGGCTGGAAGGATAGTGAGTTGGGTAATTATTTATTCCTCTTGGACATGAGTCTTTCTCATTCAGCATCATTGCATTCTCCTGCTGTATCAGCCAAATACAATGAAAGTTGTATAATACCGAGGTTTGATTGCAGGAGCATGCTGGCTATAGGACATGCAGTCAGCATTTAGCGTGTGCGTGAATCTTGCAAAAGCTTGGCATCGTCATTTGTCCACCCACCACCAATAAAACGATAGATGAGATATAGGGTAATAAGCCGTAATCATAATAGAGAGATCTAATAACATTGTTAAAAGAATTTATTGAAAGAGAATCAGCATCAAATATTATAGCTAAAAGTCTTACTATTAAATTTAATAAAGAACCTTTAATAAAGCCTAGCTCCCATGCTATATGGATATCAATACAGAGATCTATACCGAAAGTCCTATACCCGCTAAGACTCTTATACTCAGACTTCGAATAACGCCTCACCTAAAGGGCTATCTAAATAATACGTCTAAAGTTTTTCAAAATTATATCTAGCTCTAGTCAGGTTTTAAGACTTAATATCTCTATTAAGTTAAAAGAAGTATCTAAAGTCCTATCTATACGCTATAAAAAGATATTTCTAAACTTCCCCTCTATAGAGCCGCTTTTCGAAAGTAGAGTTAGGGCTACACTAGTGCGGGTATAGAACTTTCGATATAGACCTCTATATATATAAAAGAATAAGGTAGAGCTGAACTAGAAAACCTTGAGTTTGTATATGCAGCCAATCATAGATTCGTTAGGTCTACGCTTTTTGGTTAGATAACGCGGGTAAACAAATTAGCGTCCGCAACCATCAAAAATCTTTCCCTCTACTTTTAACCCCCCAATAACTTTACTATTTTCTATTAAAATTTTGAGATTTTTCTTTTAAATTATAGAACGTGATATAAACCTTTAAATAAAAAAAGAATTATTAAATTTAGTCTTATAAATATTTTAAGGCAAAGAATTCAAATATCGCTCTTCAAAGTTCGCTCGACAGCCCTAATCAAAAAACAGATACACATTATTTAATTTTAGAATAACATTTTAGTTTTCTATTAAAAAAAATTTAAATTTTTTTCTAAATTATAGAATAAAACATGGGCTTTCAGATAAAAAAAGAATTATAAGATTTAGTCTTATAAATATTTTAAGATAAAGAGTTTAAATATCGCTTATTAAAGATCGCTTATTAAATTTACTCGATAGCTCTAATTAAAAGAAATAATTATAAATTTAATTTATAGGCCTTTACTCGTATGAATATATGAAGATATGAAATTATGAATATGTGAATAAGATATCATAAGTTGATTGAACCCTTATGGAAATAAGTCATTACGCTTTGAAATACTCTTTAGGCGAAGCTATCGTATATGGTTAGGCTACGAAATTGTTACCTATCTGGTCATTGATAGATACTTCGGAAAAGGTTGCTAAACTTCTCTAATTGCAATTGGTAATACCGTTTAGTAATCGTGCCACGCAGTCAGCTCGCTCACGTTCGCAAATGCTTCTCTACCAGTCGTAAATATAAATATTGCCATAGTCTTTCTTTCTGTGTCTCCTTCTAACACGTCTTCTAACATATTACAGCTACTAAGCCGCCTGCTACGCCGCACGCGCCCGTTCAGGCGTCTGTAGACAATCGTCCTATAGCACACCCAGATCCACATCCATCACGTTCACCTCCACTCTTCTTCTTCCACTACCTCCTGTTTCAATGGGTCTTGTAGAAGCTGCCCCTGACGAGGTTGCCAATGAAGCCTCCTCGGCCGACCTGGAACAGATTCGAAACTGGAACCAAGGCGTTCCTCCCGCAATCGAAGCCTGCGTACACCACCTAGTTGAGGGAAAAGTCCGCGACCAGCCTAATGCTGAAGCGGTCCGCTCAAGAGAGGGTGCACTAACCTATGGGGATTTGGACTCCTATGCAAACGGACTTGCAAGTCATCTAGTCCATCATGGCATCAAGCCAGAGGACATCGTCCCAGTATGCTTCGAAAAGTCTATGTGGACCGTCGTTGCCATGCTTGCGGTCTTGAAAGCTGGCGCGGCTTTCGTGCCTATTCCCTGTTCCCCTGTGCAGAGGGTCAAGACCATCCTCTCCCTGATCAGGCCCTCCGTCATCCTCACATCCACTCAGCAAGCGGCAGTATTTGCTAATATGAGCGAACATGTTATTGTAGTAGGGCAAACTTGCTGTGACGAGATTGGGGCGGCCAAACGTGAGCCTCTCCGGGTGGATGTGAGGCCAAATAATCTGGCATATGTCCTTTTTACATCTGGTAGCACAGGCATTCCGAAGGTGAGTTGATGAAACTTCTACTTACAAACGATGTGCGGTCAAGAGCCTCGCTGACAGGATGGGCTCTTTCTTTCGCACAGGGAGCGCAAATCGAGCATAGTCAACTTTGCACCCACTTGAAGACATGGGGTGACACCGCAGGTTTTGATCGTACATCCAGAGTGTTCCAATTTGGTGCCCACGTGTTTGACGCAGTCATCGATGAGGTGTTCTTACCGCTGATATATGGTGGTACTATATGTATCCCCTCGGATGATGACCGTATGAAGTAAGCAGCGTGTGTGCTCCGTAATGATCATTGGTTTGCTTACACGTTGAGGGTTATGTAGTAATATCGCTGGTACCATGAGAGACATGCGGGTCACGTATGCTTTATTCACGCCATCTCTGCTTTCCACGCTGCGCCCCGAGGATTTTGACCTTGCTTCACTAAAGACATTAGTCATTGCTGGAGAGCTACCTCCCCAGGACTTGCTTACTCTTTGGGCGAACGTTCCAGACTTGCAGGTTTTCAACGCGTATGGGCCCACGGAATGCTGCGTCATATGCTGTGCCGCCAACATCACGCGAAACGGACCCCGTGCACGGAACATAGGCAGAGCAATCGGTGATATACTGTGGATTGTAGACGCTTCAGACATCAATAAGCTGGCCCCAGTTGGTGCCGTTGGCGAGCTGCTGATCGAAGGGCCCACGGTGGGCAGAGGATATATTGGCGCCGATGAGAAATCAGCGATGGCTTTCATACAGGCTCCATCATGGCTGCAGGATCTTCGCAATTGCAATATCCAGAGAGTTTACAGGACTGGAGATCTCGTCAGATACGGCAAAGACGGCACGATCGAGTTTGTCGAACGCAAAGATAAACAGGTCAAGCTACGAGGGCAAAGGATGGAGTTGGGTGAAGTGGAACACCAACTAAGACGCGCACTTCCTCCAAGAACAGCAGCAATCGCCGATATCATCTCGACGGAGAGCAGTAGAGGCGAGCCAATGCTCGTCGCTTTCATTTGTCTCGGAGGCGATAAGGGTATCAACAAGTCTGGGAGCAGGTCTGGTCGTCTGGTTACAGATCCTGCTATCAAGCAGCAAGTCAGTGATCTTATCGCCAGCCTGAACGCGCAACTGTCAGATGTCTTGCCGTCATACATGATTCCTTCGGTGTTTGTGGCCATGGAGTCAATGCCACACCTTGACTCTTCTAAGATTGACAGGGCAGGACTCCGCCAGATATTCATAACGTCCTTTTCTCCGCCTACCAAAGGTGTGATTGCAGACCGTGCTTATGAGTCGCAACATCCACCAATGACAGATACGGAGGAACGGCTTCAACAAATCTGGACAGAAGCGTTCAGAGTGGCACCATCTCGCATAGGCCTCGAGGACCACTTCTTCCAACTTGGCGGTGATTCTGTAACTGCAATCCGCCTGGTAGCGATTGCTCGCCGTGCAGGGCTTTTCCTGACCGTGCATATGCTTTTCGAACACCCCACAATTGCCGAACTCGCTGCTGCAGTCCAGCCGAGTGTCAGCGCAGTTCAAAAGGAATGGATGCCTGAACCCTATACTCTACTCCAAGAGGAAGTTTCTTCGATCATGGATCTCCAAACAGAAGCAGCCACACAATGTAGCGTCGCCCTCGACATGATCCAAGACATCTACCCCCTACCGCAACAAAATGAAACATACATGACCGCTCCCGAACTCAGAGCCGCGATAACATTCCCCCTCCCACCAGGAACTGATCTGGAACGATATCTGGACTGCTGGAAACGCATCATCACATCGCATGATATACTGCGTACTCGCGTAATTAAGACGGCAGTGGGCATGTACTCCGTCGTCACGACCGCAACTCTTAACATCCGGACAGCCACAGACCTTGACGCTTTCATCGTAGAAGAAAAGAAAGCTATCGTCGGTTTCGGAAATGCGCTGAGCGCATATTGTCTCATCAAAGACCCCAACGATGAACACAAGACATGTTTCGTCTGGACAGCCCATCACATAATCTACGACGGATGGTCCCTCGGCTTGATCAACGCGAAGCTACGCCGCGCCTATACCGACTCCAACTTCACTAACGCAGAGGAGCCTAACCCGAAACAGCTCGTCCAACATTTCCAAACCCTCGACCGCACAGCCATATACGACTATTGGCGCTCTCACTACGCCGGCGTCACATTCAAGCCTCTATTCCAATCACCAAATGGACGGTACTGGGAAGCAGACCAGAAGTTACCTCTCCGGATCAACTTCGCCTCAACCGGCGCAGCCAAAGGCTCAGCATTCACCATCCCAGATATAATCTCGGTGGCGTGGGTACTCGCGCTATCACGGCATTTCGAAGCGGCTGACATAGCTCTCGGGATCATGCGCTCAGGTCGCACCCTCCCAGTTGAAGGTATCGAGAACTACATCGGAGCTCTGATCAACCAGCCACCGTGGCCCGTGCACATTGATGAGGCCGCCCTTACTCACGATTTCGTTCGTAATTTCCAGCGTGACATCTGGGAATCCAGCAAATACGAAGCCATCGGCTGGCTTGAGATTAAGACCTTGAGTCCTGAGGCGGCGACAGCGATTTCGAATTATGTATGGCTCAACATCCAGGCGAAGGATATAGAGGCGGAGGAAAAAGAGAGGATCGAGGAGAATGAGTTGCCGGCACCGTTGGAGCAACAATTCTACCGCATCTGGCACCCGCTGATGTTGGAATGTGAGATTGACAAGCAGGGGGTGAGTGCGGTGGCTTATCACGACAGGAGCGTTGAACCCGGGGTCGTCCAAGAGATCATGACTGCGTTCGAGAAGGCGTTCATGGACCTGAGTAATGCGAAGGAGGGGCAGAAAATTTGTGATATTGCCAGCGAGTGATTTTTCGTGGAGCCGATGTAGAGAACCCCTCAGTCAATCAAGAAGTACGCACAACTCACTCTTCGAACGCTGATGTTTACCCTCTGGCATACTCACCCTCTCAACCCCCCAGTCCCACCAATCCAACAGCCTAATCTCATCACCCTCGACTTCCCCACCTTCAGCCTTCGCAACCCTCCTCCACTTCACTCAATCATGAATCCTCCAGACACGACCACACCGATATCCCCGAAAGTCCTCACCCCCTTCGAATCCCCAAAGACCCCCTTAACCACGTCGACAACACCCACGCAAACGCCGAAACCCCCCTCCCTACACATCCCACCACGAACCATACCCACATCCTCACACCAAACCCCTCCCCCCCTCCGAACCTCCTCCTCATACCACCCGCCCACCAGCCCTTACCACCTCACTCACTCACTCACCCATCTCGCCTACACCCCACCACAGCACCCATCTACACTCGCAGAACCCGAGCATTCACACTACTGTACCGTCCGCCTATGCCATATCCACCGTACCCGACACCGCGCCCCGCAATCATGCTACCACCGTCATCAGTTCACTAATCGGGCTGGGGTGGTGGTGAACGGGATGATCAGCCGAGATAAGAGTCGGGGTCGAGGTACGATCCGTAGCATCACGATCGATGCTCCAAGGTGGTCGACTGCACGTGTGCCTGAGTAAGCAAGCAGGTGCGGCTTTGTCAGCGGATCAGACCGTCTGACGTGGAGTGAGTAGCGCAAATGCAGGTTTTGTTGGTTTGATTGGTGGGAAATGGGTTTCCAATGGGAGTATGCTAAAGCGGCAGAGGGGGACGTATCAAAGGCATAAGGATGGAGCCAAAAATATAACCATCGATAACCCTATCAGAACAATAATCGCTGACTCACTAATTCTACACCTCTGGTAGATGCGCAGATGGTGAATTGTCATACGTCGTGTGCAGTAGCTCCTGTCTTCTCGACACCTCATCCGATGCATTCTGGCTGACCCGGCACCGTTTCGTTGAACGATCCCTGACGGCGCGAGAACTCCTCTTCAGAACGAGGATACCAGTAATACAGTCCACTCCTATTGCAATCCGACGCCACCACACGCACCTGAGCAGCCCAGTACTCTGCATGGAGACTCCCCACCCTCCGCCACAGACTCCTACAAGTAGGCGTGCTCAGCTTGGGGAGCCAGCAAATCCGTCCCAAGCGCTCTTCCATCTCCGTCCATGTCTCGATACCGGACGGCCTGATCCCTCTGGCTATGCGGACGGCGAACCACTCTTCTTCGTCCTTGTCGAGGGAGAGAATACCGCAGATGAAGAGGGCCCATGTGATGGAGCTGGGTGGTGGGCGAGCGCCGAGGCCGATGGTGTGGTTGGCTTCGCCTTGTTTGATGGTGTTCATGAGCTGGGCTTTTAGGCTCCGGATTACGGCGCAGAGGGGGAAGTACATGTGGAGAGCGACTTTGATGTAGATCAGAGCGGCGAGACGACATGTTTCGATGTGGTAGTCGAGGTTGGTCATTTCTGCCGCTGGCTTTCGGTTCGCGAATGACAGCAATTTGTCGACGATGTTCGTACGCATCTTGCCGAAGGACATGATGTCCCGAGTGGTCTGGGTTGTATCCCAGTTGTTAATCTTTCGAGAGAGGTAGCGCATGTTTTGGAACGCAGCGGCGATCTCGCCACAAAGCTCCGTCGAGAGGCCAAATTCGGGGAAGATCGGATTGGAGTAGGGCAGATCGCCTCGAATGAGAAGACAGCAGGGCGTTTGTTCGTATGGTAGAGCTGAAGCCATCATTGAGGAAGATAGCAGGTCTTGCCTAAATCGCTAGTCAATGTCTTTGTTCCGACGGGTCCAGCCTGTTTCCACGCTTGGCCAGAAAAAAGGGGGGTGAAATACCATGCAATGAACATATGAAGAACGCCGTCCCATACTAAGCTTTGTAGTCCACCGCGCATGTACACCATCCTTTGTAGACCATTCATATGGATTTGGAATTCCTTGTAATTGCCGAGGATGCTCTATGAAGTTTCACGTCAGTCAGACTGAATTTTCGACTGTACCAGAACATGCAAGCCGACGAGTCTCTTGACATACTTCCATTGCGGCAAGCATCGCCACAGATCCAATAGTCTCATTGGACAATGCATGCTCACGGTCCCCCAACTTCGCGTTGACAGCCTTGATTGAGTCGCCTTTGCGAAGAAGAGTTCTTTGACTTTTACAATCACCAGACAGAATTTCTAGATGTGCTTGTGCGAATGTGAGAGTGGTTAGAAGAAGGGTGGAGTCTTGCAAAGCATAGGGAAGCCAGATCTTCGTGAGAGGGTTCTGATCCTTACCCTGGTCAACTGGTAGGCAGCTGAGAGCAATAACCGAAGCGACTATGGATAGAAGAGATTAGTAAATAGGAATACACGTTTCATAGTGTCCATGAAAAAATAGGAAAGAGATGCGAAAGAGACACTAACAGTGATTTAAAATGTAGCCGTTGTAGTTGTTGCAGCTAGCAATCGGCATAGCATTGAACGGATCAAACACCCCGTCTCCAACCAACGACTTTGGGGATCCAGTACGGCATGTCCCGGGCATAGGGCGCATGAGAGCTCGCGTCTCCTCTTCGCCGTAGCTCGGCCAATAGTCTGAACGTTGTGCTTGCTCATCACATTCAGCCGCAGGTTCAGCCTCATTCCTGCTCGCTAGATGACCCATATTGATGAACCCAAGCTTAGAGAGCATCTCGTGCAGTGCCACCGGCCCGTCGGCATCTGCCTTGTCACCCGTAAACCAACCATTTGGATTCATTTGTAGAGAGTGCTCAGCTGTCACGCTTGAATCCGCATGTTCCGATTTTGGGGCCTTGGTTTTGAGCCTCTTCTGATACTGGGCCATGAGCTCCAATCGCTGATTCCGGCGTACATTACGCATAGCATGAGCGCGTACTATACTTATGACATCCTTGTCTTGGTTCTTCTTCGGCTCGCTGACGTTGACGAATTGCCATTTCTTCGGGCCCGATCCTTCAGCTGACCCTGCAGCTGCACCACCATTGGTTCTGCTGGGTGACGGCATCACGTATGAGACAGATAGCGTTAAGTCTGCATGTGTGAGCGGATATATCAGAATTCAAAGGTCAAGGGGAATAGAGCTTGGTGTCAAAAGGACTTGTTCCCCTGAATGGCTTAAGCAGAGCTTGTGCCGTAGACGTTACGCATCAGCTTGCATATTAATCACGGGGAAAATCAGCGACAGCGTCCGTCTTTAATGCTCGATAGGACGCTCAATCGGATCGCAGAGCAACTGACCCTGCAGTGGCCACAGCTGTTTTTCTTTTTCTTTTTCCCCCCCAATGCTTTGAAGACAACATCCTTGAGATTGGCTCAACAGTACCGAGAAGTTCCTTTCAGTTGTTTCTCAAGGGGAGTAGTCGAATGGAAGGCATCACGTTGCCGCCACCTCGCACGGTTACTTGTCGCTGGCGGGCGCTCTCGGCTGGATGCTACCGGAGCACTAAGCCTGAACAGGTGCGTGTTCGGCTTGGCATCGTATGCAACTAAGCTCGCGGAAGGAGTGATAGGCGCTGGGTGTCTATGTCAGCCCGCTGTCCATTGGCCCTCTACATGTTCACCGAGAAGTGGCATAGATGCAACGCTGCAAGAGATTGAATCAGCAGCCACGGTTCTTACATCAGCTGCCACATCGGCCGCCACGTAGCCCCCACTAGCGAGTGTCACCCTTTGTATACGGATTTGAGGGAGGGAGATATAATGCAGTACAACACACTGTTGTAGGTTGAATGGATGCGTTTTGGCCCATCCCTAAAGGACTCTGTAGAGTACCAAGCGCTCGCGCTAAACCCAAAACATTCTATCAGATAAAGTTCATATGCTTGGATCTTGGCATCGTCAATCTGATCGAAAGATGTGGTAGTCTTCCCGCTCAGCTTGCCACTCTGTTTATCTCCACAAGGCAGGGTAGAGTGTGTGTCTAAACGTGCGATGACCTGCCTTCCCACACTCCTATCCGATCTACTCGTCATCGTCAGAAGCTACGCGATGAAACACAGATATTAAGATCTATGAAATCAAGTTGTAAGCAGGTTGCGGAAGGAATTGATAAGATCTAGGCTTGACCGTTCATGTCGGTGGGGCACTTGGCTTCCGGCATTTTACGTCCAGGGAGGTAATGTAGGGTAGCCACAATTCTATGGGAACAGTACGTTGAAGTGGACATGTCAGTATGGAGTGATGTGTATAGAGTAAAGGAAACAATTCACGAGGTCCATCATATGTACCGACCATGACATGCAGAGACCCCGAACCAAGAAGCCAATGAAATCAGATAATATTTACCTTCAAGCACTTCGTACACGCATGGCCAGCATGGTCCGTCTCCCTCGCTTTGATTCCCTCACAGCACCCTTATGATGGTGACTCCCCGCACCCACTCGGATAATCCGTCCCATCGAACACACAACAAGGGTTCGCACTCTTAACCGCCGCAGTGAGCCCACTGGAGATGTGATCACTGAAAAGTTGCGACGGTGCCGCTGGCGAATTGGCACTCGCGTATAGACATCCGCACCAAAATTGCGGATCGGTTTGTTCATTGGGCGGGTAGAAGCCGTAGACGCTGTCGAAGTCGAAAAGTTGGCAGACGGGGAGGTTGAAGACGCTAGTAGAGGAGAGTTGGGAGTTAGCAGTGTGGATGTTACTTCTTCGGGGTGTAGGTAAGGCTCAGGCAAGTATTTAGGAGAGGATGGGGCGCATAAGATAGGGCTAGGAAGGGAAGAAAAAAGAGCACTTGGTGGAAGGAAGAATGTCTGCAAGTTCGTTGATCAGAGAAGTAATGTACGTACCCTTCAGTAGTCATCGGCAGATCCCCAAGACTCTGCACATCGCCCAAATCAGACACATCAATGTTCCCTGTCTGCAAGCCCGCGACGAGCGGATTCGAGATATTAGCGTTGAATCCCGTGTGCTGCCAAGCACCCACACTGGACGCCATAATGTTATGATAGTCAAAGGGGGTCCCGGCGATATCGATTGTGCTGCTGTATCCATGGGGAGCGACGCCAGGACCGATGCTAGGGTTTGAGGCGTCGCCGACAAGAATGGTCATGCCGTCGCCTTCACACAGCGTGGGAGTTGCCCAAATATGGGACGTCAAGAGAGCTTGGCAGTCTGATTGCTATGGCGGTGGGAGAAAAGGTCAGTCAGGATCGATAGCAGAATCATCACAGCGAATGCCTTCACGTTGGAGAGACGGGAATAGCGTACTTGAAAATTGGTATACGGCGGAATGTGAGCGTTATAAGGCAGGTACACAATGAATACATCTGCATCTCTCCACACCGTATTGATAGCCGTCCAGCCAAAGATACGGGCAGAACCATCGCGCATATTTTCATAGAATGTCTGGTCTTCGATCGAAGAAAGAAGGCTACTTTGGCCGACCCCCTCATCAACGAAGGCGCCTCCCTTGAGGAGATCCTGGACTTGGGGGAAACCACCTCCACTGCCATTGTTCCAGAGCAGGACGGTTTGATAGGTAACGGCTAGTCCATTGTTGAGTGACCAGTACAAAGTCTCCATTGAACCTTCCAAATCATTTATGCTGTCAATCCGAGGGTCTGCAGGGGCTGCATCTCCAAGACTGATGCCGCCTACAATCCCACTCAGGAGACTGCCAATTACACCGGTCGCGGCGGAAGCAGTGCCGAACTAGCACATGTTGAGCCACCAAAGCTTACCAAGCGCTCGAGGGATTGAGTGAAATCCTGACTCACTGACAGAGCTCCAAGAATAGCAGATACACCTCCAATTGCTGGGGTAGCAGCAGATGTGGTCTTGTCCCACGATGGACCGCCAGAAGAGGTATCGTTGCCAAAGGTCTACCCGATGGGTGTTCAGTGAGAGATGCTTACGGTACTAGCGGGTAGAATGATATACTGATCCAATGACGCTTGCAACACTAATCTGATTGACTTCGGAAGAAGCCGTTGCTACATTCATCTGGTAAAACAACTCTGAATATGATGTAAGCTGGAAGGGCGGGCGGTCATTGAGGACGGATCTCACAAACCTGCAAGTGCCCTCCAGCCATTATAAAACACGTAAGCACGGATGGCATCGAACGATCCATTAGGCGCTGGTGTCAGCCAATCGGAGCACTGGAGAGAGACAGTGATGCAAGCTACACGTTGTAAGCACAATGACTCCGACTGGGTGAGGGTGGATGGCTCTTTACAGTCGGCTATTGTGCACGTGATGCCATCCCGTTGATATATTTCGGATATCACATACGGAACGGTGGGAGGTGTAACATGATTGTTGTAGTATATTGCTGGCACGTCAGTCCAGAAGATATCGAACCAGTCGTCGATCTGAAGATTTATCCAATCCGTGACGGTAGGGATGTTGAGGTCCCCACTTTTGCACTGTGCTACTGCGGATGCTTGCTGGGCCGGACTGAATGGTGTTTGTCGAGCCTGGAGAATGTTGTCGGATGTTGGAGTTTGTCGATCTTCAATCACCGGCGTAGCCTTTGGAAGAGCGGTTGCGAGCGCGGAGAGATAAAGTATGGAAGCGACAAAAGTTGGAGACATGATGAGGAACATATTGGAGACTTGAGATCCATCGAAGGACAATGTCGATGATGGTCTATGAAAAAGACATCCGAGGCCATATATACACCTTTTCCGCAGAACCAACAGCAAATATATCATGGTACACCATGGTCAGTGATGCAGAAGGTGTTTCCACCCGTCGTTGGAGGGGAAAATCATTTTGATCTTCGATGTACTGGTGTGACACACAAAATCGAAACACTGCTCAAGAGAAGCGATATGAAATACGGTTCCTATGCCAGAGCTGTCTCAGAAGAATTAGGCAATGGCGAACGAAGCCGACGAAGACTCCAGTTTTGCTGGTGGAAGAAAGAACGTGGGCGGCGTATGTGCCGGTCCCAGGGGACATGTGTACGAATACCAGAAGGAGGTGGTAATGGAAGCCGACGAACAGTGTCGTTTAGCTCCTGATATGTTTGCATGAAACGGCGCTGTAAAAGTTGAATGATTACAGGAATCAGTCACGCGCGTCACGGGTACCGGGGTTTCAGCCCCTCTATCCCGTAACGAGAGTAGAAGATGGGAAAGCTGAAAGTCTCTCCAAGTCATGCGATATGTGAATCTAGGAGCCGACGGTAGACACATAGGTGTGAGATACTGCAACCTGGGGTAGAAAACCATGCGGGCAATGAGGTGATGCTCGATTACCATACGCGCTCCGATACAAATTGTGCACTTCATTCCCTCACGCTGGGCATTCCGATGCGCCATCATCTCAAAAGGTCTTCCGGACAGTTCAGACTCCAAGTGGTCCTCAATTAGAGCCTCCGATACGGAAGAGCGGATTTTTGAATGGCTCAGCAGTTGGGACGATTACTCTATAGACGTTCTCGATTGATTAGGTTTGAGTCTGCCGGATGAATGGAGACGGTACCCACGACCAAGTAGCCATGTTATCAAGACACGAGAAAATCCTGCCGCGCGTCCATTTCCAAGTCTCCTGCGTTGAGGTCAAGGATGAAGGAGATCTCCCGAAACCTCTGCGCTCTGAGATCGAATGGGATGACAGACCTGCATAAAATTCGGGTGTGGGCCCGCAAACCGTCCCCAACGAGGAGGAGGTGTTGTGTGGTTTGGCGAAACGCTGTGCCGCAGAGTGGTGCAAAGTCTATCTTTCCAACCGGCATGCTTGATTCAAGAGTATGGATGAAGTTTCTGCCCGCCGCACGGCACATCCTTTAGCTGATCCCTTGTTGATCATGGCCAACTCGTTACGTGTGACGATGAAAATTCAGTCACCCCCACCCCCAAACAGACCTCCGAGACTTATATATCAGGCCAATCATGCTTGTTCTGCGCCATTGAAGTCTTTCACTGGGACACGATGATGGTGATGACGGCGTTTCACCAGTCTCAACGTCAGATTTTAGACCATGAGAGTGCAGGCGCGGGTCTTACTTTAGTAGTCGTCTGGTTGCAGTGTTGATGAGCAGTGACATTTATTTACTTGAGGGGTGAAATCTTGGCATAATATTTCGAGGTAAGACACTAACCAAGAAGGAAAGAAGGAAAGAAGGAAGATGAAACATGTTGTTGGCGGTATTTAGTTCGTATCAGGTTCGATTCCTAGTGGCGCTGGTACAATGGTGTTGCCGTGCTTCTTATTTTCTAAACAGCGGGGAACCATGTTCAATTTTGGCAGTACAGCGCTAGTCCGGATTTGGTCGCTCGTGCCTCGATGACGTCGGTTGCTATTTTTATCTTTGGCGAGGATTGGTGGATCTCAATCTTCTCAGATACAAAGTACCATCCACCATCAGAGTGAAAGTGGTACGCAAGGCCAAAGGGTCAATTGTACCTAGAAGTGACAATAATGCATACATCCTCTGTTCACATAAAGTTGGACTCTCGCAATTACTACTATCTAAAAGACAATGCTCCGAGCCAGGTGTGTTGACTACCTTTCAGGTCAACCAGGAAGGTTGCTCCGTAGCGGAATCGAAACGAGGCAAGGGCAATCTATCCCCAAACTCACACTTCCTATTCATGCTGCCTGCCTATGACACATCTTGTGACATGGCTACAAATATCACAAGCGAAGGAAGGTAGCACTATGACATTGATGCATGCCCCCTGAGCAAGGTTCCCGCCGTCGTCAAATTGCCCAAGAAAGAGACATCGCTTTGCAGAGTCGCTGGATTACTTGGATGGATCCATGCCGGAAATGGCGCGCTCATGTAGTTATTCATCGTCCGGTCAAATCCCGATCCATCCTGCCACACGAATACCGAAAGCGATGGAAAACCTAGAATGCCTTTGAAATGCCAAAGTCATTAGCGACACTCCCGGTCTTGAAAATTGGATATTGAGATGCAACCTTACCATTGACTACAGCAGCACCACCTTGATGGTTGGAGGCAAGACACGTCATCAGCGTCTGCAATCCAGCGGCGAATATTTTCGACCACGACGTAGCCGAAAGTTGAACACGCTCCTCACCATGAGCATAACTCAGCAACGCAATGTTGCAATGCCCTAGGTGCTGTCGTCAGTCATGGGCCTCGTCACAATGCTTCAGCTAGACCGACCATGACTCCACAATTTCGGCACCTGCAGAACTCCTTTCTGCGACCCACTGGTACGAGGATCAGCGAATCGCGCCCAATTGGCTTCTGGTAATCCTGTACGGAGCTGCTGCTCGACGAAAAATTGTACCACGTCATCCGTTGGCACTGCCGATAGTGCGCCCATGCAGTCTCTATAGCTGGGGACCCCGAAAGTTTCTCTGCTACAGAATACGAAAGCCTCCACAACAGACATATGAGCGAACCCCAAAGCTAAGCAGAAAATGTGAAGATAGTTCAGCGACAAGTATGAGGCTCGCTGTGGCAACATCGTGTGTGGATGGCCCGCCTCGCCCGCACGGCATCTGAAAATTAGATCAAGGAAATAAACATCGGGACTTCTTGGCTGTGCTGTCTGGGAGTTTTCAGGCTCGTGGTGGGTTCTGATTAAGAGAGAGAGATTGATCAATCATGATGTCAAGACGTAACCTTCCACTTGAAGAAACATACCTAATCGCTTGGGCCTTGAAAAATAATCGGTATAGGCGCAGAGCCGCCCGCATGTCTACTTCCGACGCACGTCCTAATGCGGATATCACCTGCCCTGTTGAACGCTGAAGGCCTGCGCTTCTCCGTGTGAGCATAGACATACAATTCCAGAAGCTTCATCCGTCGAAAATATAGAATCCCCTCCCCTCGGTCATACACACCGCTCGTCAAATGGGTCCAACCTACCATTTCCACCAAGGACACGATGTTCTCCTGCTTCAGTACAGGCATCCTATTTCTATGCAGCATCTGTTTTCCGCTTGTCTGCTCCCTCATTTGTAGCGAAGAGATCTTCGGCACCCCAAAGGTAGACGACTGCAAACAAGCTCTGCTAGAAATACCTTTCGCCAGACGACCTGTGGCCAGCTACCAATCCCAGTACTCTCACCTCTTCGCCGAGCCACAATTTCAAGAGCCCCCTTTCCGTTCGGTCACCAACAACTTTCGTCCACAGGCGATAATACAGCTTCCAAAAATCTGGAAACACAGTAAGTCGCATTCCCCATGTCCACATCCGCTATCAGCAATTCGCCATTTGAATGTTGTGCAATTGGCTGAACAAAAAAATTAGACTCCTGCCGCATAGCGCTCATGAGTCAAGGCGTCTCAGGTAGTCCAGGGGTTATCGACCCGACGTTTACTGCGACATGGAGAAACGTCATAGACCGGTCCGCACGGCTACGAAGTTGTTTTGCGTTCAATCCGCCTCGAGGCGGATGGATATCCTTCCTGTGTACCTATTTTTCTCCCACGCTTTCTCCTCCTCTCACATCTAAGCCGCGCTTCACTAACTTCAACCAACGCAAATAGCAACCACAAAGCAGCCAGCGGCGACGCTATACATGTACGACAGCGATTCGCTATTCAGCGCTCTCATCAACTGCTACATGAGCAGCGGAATCCCCATCGTTCCTGTCAGCAATGAAGACTGGGCCGATGTACTGAAGAATGCAACACTTCGTCTTCCGAGTCTAAGCGTGCTCACGAATGTTACCCGAACGCTGTCGCCAAGCGAGTATAAACTTTTGGATTCGATGTAACCAAAGCATCAATAGACAACGTGCAAGGTTCTTCCGCCATAGGTAGAACCCCTTGCTTCGAGCTTCGGACAAATCGGGCCCTTCATTTTCAAACTCAATCTCGTCATATATTAGAATTTATAGCCCCAAAAAAGTTAGCAGATTTACGCGCGCAAGTCCACAAAATATCAGGGTCTTTTGGCCTCGATGAGTGTTGTTACTTTTGCCCCAAGTCTCATCACATCACTTCCTCGCCCTTTGGCAGTATATTCAGAAAACAGACCGGAGCCAAAGAAAGCCAATTCCACAGCAACGTGCCTACCCAAGAGCATACCCAGTCGCCCGACCGAGACGCTTCACCCGTATTATCATCCAATACTCGACTTCCGCAATCCCAACGCAGCAACACCTCCTACCCTCCCTTCCGAAAGCTTTCCCATCCACCAACTCAAACGCCGACATCTCATTCACCGTCACCAACACCGATCGTTCCCTCCACCACCTCATCAGACCTCAAAGTCTCCCGCAAGGAACGCGTCTTCGATCTCCAGCATGATGTCGATAATCCGAGCCGGACTCGACGCTAATCCTCCACTCCGATCTTGAAAATGTGACCGCCCAGTACAGATGACTTGATACGCAGTATGCAGGTACTAGAGTGCACGTAACGTGATGTGTCGACCAATAACATCCCCAAGAGAATCTTCCGTGAGTCTTGCTATCAAGACAGACCCGTCGCCGATACCTATCCGAGGAGACCGGCTGTCCCATAAAAGCTAGTTGGCGAACGAGGAAGTGGGTGATAGACACAACCATCCCCTCTCCTCTACCCTAAACGAGTCGAACACCTCCCCACACGTTCCTGTTCGCGTTGAGAGAAGAAGAAAAAGAAGGACGTAGTGGCGCTGACTCGCTAGTTCGCAGTGAGAATCTCTCCGTGACCTCCATCCATCGACCATATACACATCCAGCCTACTACCCCGGTGTCCCTTCCAATGACCCACACCGAAAACACTGCCCGCCACAGAATGACGCGATCTGAAACCAAGTCAACTCTCCTCCTCCTCCTCCTCCTCCTCCTATGACAGCGACCGACTCACACCCACCGCCAAAACCCCGTTGGAAAGCCAAATCGTAAGCGCGTAAAGTAAGTAAGTAAGTAAGTAAGTAAAGTAGCAACCAAAGCCGAACTGCTCCAATACATAACACTAGCACTCGACCAACCTCGCCGACGAAACACCGGATACCATCCCGCGGCATCTTCCCTTCTCTTCCCCGACTGGTACCGAAAGATGCGTCGAGGACGGGACAGGATATATTGGGGTTGAGACGGGGCTTGCGGCCTCTAGGAAGCGGGTTCCGCATTTGAGAAAATTCGCTCTGCTTGCGGTCAGTGTGGTAGGAAATTGGGATAGGGAGCACGGGGTGGGGAGATTCGGCATTGTGGGGGGTGGGAGGGTTGAAGGAAGGGGTGAAGGTTGGAGTGCTTGGCGGGCTTTGGGTGCCAGGATGCCCAGTAAGGGATAGCGTGTAAGGATTCTCGGATTCAGCACTGCCGAAATCTCGTACGGTTTCGCCCGTTCACTGTTCGATTTCACCCTGAGCGTTGGAGATTTGAACGGGTGGCATATGAAGGTGAAGTAGGCTTTGGCTTTGGAATTATATAACACTTTAAATAGGAAGACTAGAGGATACTGAATGCCAGTCCATTTTATATATCCGCAGCGTCGAAATTCCGTATCATCTCTGCTCACGTCATCAGCGATATCCTCATCGGTAGTCCTCGGAGATATTAGGATATAGGAGTGAGGACAGGACTCCAGACTCACCGTAATATACCCTCATCCCCTCTAGATGCGCCGTCATATCAATACGCTCATCAATCGTATGCACGCCGAATCTCGTGCCCTCCCTTGCCGGCGAGAAGCGGTAGATATTCTTCGTCAAGTTCCAGTATTGGATCGTATCGGTGTTTCCTTGCATGATATCGCCGACGGGGATGACCTTCTTACCTTCGAGGGTTTTGGTGTCCTCAAAGACTTGGCGGATGGTGCCGCTGAAGACGTGCCAGACGGGGTTTTGGATGTCTGTGGGGGATATAGGGGAGGGTGAGAGGTCATTCAAGCTCTTGAGGTAAAGGGTCCCCAACGATGGTTTTGCTTCCTCACTGTTACTGCCCTCACTTCTGCGTTCTCCGCTACTCTTGCTGCCAAAGCCTTCGACTTTGACATTATGTTTCCGAGCGATGGGTTCCAGTAGGTCTGCGATCTTGCTCTTCACGATGTCCAGCGAGTCATGAGGAGCGATACGGTAATTGACAATGGCGGAGACAGTCTCAGGAAGCGCGTTCACTTTATCACCACCTTTGATAATGTCCACAGCTTGCGATGTCTGCATCGAAAACCGAATCTGCGGTCCTCTCTCATCAGCAAGCTTCTTCCCAATCTCCGTACCATCATCATCACGCTGCAGAGAACGCCGCAGCCAGGGTTCTAGCTCCCCCGGCGTGTACTTGGCTTGACATTCCAGTAAGCCCCGGAGAGGGTTCTCCTTGGTCAGTACTGGTGTGTAAGGGTTCTGCTCTAGAGCAACTATCATTTCGGCTATAATTCCAATTCCGCTGTGCGCTGGTGGTCGCGAGCTGTGGCCACCGGCGGTCTCGAGGATGAGCTGCGCGTCCATGTACCCTTTCTCCGCAACACCTGGGCGAGCGTAGACATACTCGCCGACAGTCGTGAGACCCATACCTCCTTCATCCAGGATCAGAGCGAAGCCATCACGACCCCAAGCTTTCTCTAGTACTTCGGCAATCTTGGCAGCACCGCGTACACCGCCGGTTTCTTCGTCGAAGCCAAAAGCTAGCACGACAGAACGCCTGGGCTTCCAGTCTTGTGATAGTAGTGATTCTACGGCTGACATGACGCCGATGAGATTGTTTTTGCAGTCGCTAGACCCGCGGCCCCAGAGGTATTGGCCGTCGTAGTGAGGCTCGAATGGCGGGTAGGTCCATTTCGAGATGGAGGAGGCGGGGACGACGTCTTGATGGGCGGTCAGGAGGAGTGGTTTGAGATGTTGGGATGCACCTTGAAAGGAGTACACGAGGCCATATCGGTTCACTTTCTCCAGCTTTGCATGGCCGTGAATAAGCGGGAAGAGATCTTTCAGCGTGTCGTGGAAGCCATCAAAAGTCCTCCATCGCGGATCCTCATCAACGTCACCGTTGTCATCAAAACTTTCTGTTGGGCACTTTACAGCCGCCGAGAGTCTTTCGATTTGCTTTTCCAGAGAAGCATCGAGGCTAAAGTCCTTGGATGGCCGTAAGTTGTCGGTACTGGCTTTCATGGTGTCTGGGTCTGCGAGAGGACACCAAGATTCGAAATCACCGTGGTCTCCGACTGTAGCAAAGGTCATAGAGGGTCCAAAATGAGCTGACAGTTGCCATAAAGCTAGAAGTATGACGACGAATACCGCGATCTTCTTCCAATTCTCCTTGATGGTGGTTTTCTCCATCGATTTCATGGTTCCCTGCTTTTCTGGCAGATAGGACTGTTGGATGAAAAGACTCATTCTACAGTTAAAAAGGTGCTTTCTGTTGTTCTCACGAAGCAAGCCCGCATGATCATTTTGACACTTTTTGTGGAGAAGATGGAGTTTTTGTTTTCCAGACCCCGCTCAAAGCACAAAATTAAAACTTTTGGTCAGGACTTTCGGATAGGACAATGCTAAGAAAAGGAAGAAGAGAAAAAAAAAGGGGGTTTCCGGACTCTAAGGCGAAAGTGATTAACGGACTTTTTCTATGCTTCCTTAATTCCAAACACTCAAAATTTCAGTCCTCAAATATTACTATCCGTAAAATGTATGTACTCATCAGGTCCAAAGAGATACGATCTGACAGATGGCACTTAGTGAAGCCTCTGCCTTGAGTTGGTCTGAGCCTGTCCATACCCACCGCCTGCTTTGACCTAGCCTGAAGATACTGCCATCAAGCAACATAAAATACTACGTTGTAGGTTATCAATATGCTATGATATACTTTTCAAGAGACCCTCTTCCCTCATTCCCAAAATGTCTAATGCAAAGCCAATTACATTCCCATCCATCGTCCAGTATTCGATGATACGGAAGAATGTCTACACAAGAGACATGGCCACGCCCTCCTCGCTCTCAAAAACGCCCGATTCCATTTGCCACGCTCGATCCAAAGAGGAAGATGAAGAATGTTTGTCGGCGTAGGCAGATGCGGACCCTTTTGATCTGGCTGGACTTTCCAGACCCTGTTCCAACGGCGTACACGGCTTTGCCAGTCGCCAATACTAACACACGTTCAATATCATGTGATTGGAGGGGAGAGTCATAAAGCACAGGGCGCTAAAATGGTTATGAACTTGTAAGTTGACTTGAGATCCAGAACTCTAGTCAAATCGTCTATTTTCGCCTTTACTTCCCGCAACAGGATATTTTCAACAAAGTACCGTTGAAAGCACTGTCTACGGGCCGGCTTGAGCCTCGCTCTCACAGCGTCAATGCTCTCGGATTGACGGTGCCGTAGTCCATTTCCGGACCGCGAGAGCTCCACCTGGGTACTCTCTCCAAGACCAAACCTTTCCATTGGTGGATTCGGCGAAGTCTCGAGGGGCTGAGTTGTGAGATGTGCATCAGAGTATGAGCCTCAAATCAGGCTTGTGTTACAGTCCTGAACCTCAAATGCAACTTTCTGCGGGCCCGTATTATCATGAAGGCACAATCTAAAGCAGTGACCGGTGCCGTTCCATAAAGACGCACGTACGCCATTTCTGATAGCACACCACCGTTCGAGGTGACGATAGTATCGACGGAGTCCATGTTCAAGACCCCAACGCCTCCTAGAGTAGTAGCTGGCTTTCCAGATCTGGTGGCGAGTCCGAAAGACACGTTCCGTGGATTGGGAAACGGATCACACAACGCCATCTCACAGTTTGTGCTTAGGGTATCATTGCCATTCTGACAAAGATGTTCTCGATAACCCAAACAAAATGATACGAAGATAAAGAAATTCCAAACCTGCTATTCGATACAAAACTCGACAAAGTCTTTCTTCACAGTCCACGCCGCCAGCCTCATCCACGCGTACTCCAGTCCTTGCTGGTCGTATGTGTAGCGTAGCCCCAACGCTCCAATCATGACCGAGACGACGATTGCAACCGAAGTCGAGCAAGGCCGTTCCCGCGCATACCCCTGACCTATCGTTCGAACCTTGGACCAGCTTTGACCAACTCGCGTCCAAGTATCGGTGAGCAGATTTGTCAATCTTCCCGAAGCCGTAGACTTCCTTCGTCAACTGACCTCCGTGCCAGGCAGGCTGCACTGTGCCATAGCTTGTGCTTGCGAGCTAGACATGGTCCGGCCCCAAACGCTTCAACAAGATATACTGAGGGCAGGTGGTACACCTCAATGGTTACTGACCTAGGAAGGATACTTGGAAAGCATGGCTCTACCTTTGAAGCTCCGTAACCCTGTTCATAGAATCCCGGCAGCCCGCATGAGCGTGAACTGGATTTTAGAAGCTCGGTCTCGGGACTTCCTTCTCCCCGCTCCTCCACCGGTTCACATCATCTTTCCCGACAATCTATCGATCTCAATATATTCGAAGCATAGGTCGATAGCATCCAGATACGTGAGACAGAGGTCGAAAGCGTGACGCCAAACCTCCAGATCCAACCACCCAAGTAACATAACAAAGCATCATAGTCACAGACCCAATCAACCCGAAAAAAGAAAAGAAAAAAAACTACAATAACATCCCCAGTCCAGCCTACCCAAACAGCACAATCCCTAACAATCCCAGACCCACCACCCAGACCCACCACCCAGACCCACCAAATCCAACCCACCCTCACAACCTCAAAAGCCCCCCCCTCCAACCCATCCCCAAACAACCAACCCCACCCACCCACCCTCCCTCCCATCCCATCCCATCCCATCCCATCCCATCCCATCCCATCCCATCCCACCCCCCCCCATCCCATCCCATCCCACCCCACCCCCGCAACCCAACCCATCCCACCCCCCCAAACCCTTCCGCTCAAACACCGCCCAAACCCTTCCGCCCAAACCCTTCCACCCAAACCCCACCCCAAACCCTTCCGCCCAACTCCACCCCAAGCCCTTCCGCCCAAACCCTTCCGCCCAAACCCTTCCGCTCAAACACCGCTCAACCCCACCCCAAACCCTTCCGCCCAAACACCAACCAACCACCCAACCAACCCCTCCACCCCCACAACCTCAATCCGCCACTCCACTCCACGATCCGCCGCGCCGCGCCAACGGTGGAGTGATACCTTGTATCCGTGACTCCGATTCGTCGCGCGAGTTCGAAGGGAGTGACGCAGAGAGGGAAGGGAGAGAGAGCGAAGACAAGCACGAGGGGTGTTTCGACGCTGCTAATCTTAGTCTATCGGCGGACGGACTTCTGTCCGCACGGGGAGGATGATGTTGTTGTTGTTTAGGTTTTTGAACTCGATCGAGGTGGGGATGGAGTTGGAGCTTTGATGGGGGAAAGTGGCCTCGTGGCCATGACCGAATAGATATCATTCCGCTGGTTACGATCCTGCTGTGAAGGTAGCAGGTCTTTCGCGGGTGACGCAGGGTGATTGTAACGTGTTTCAACATTATATTTTGTACAGCTCACGGCAAGCCCTGACAAAATCGACGCCAGGTGTAAATGCTCATCAAAAAAAAACGCCAACTCAGCCCAAGGCGCAAGCCAATGCTGTCTATCCACCGCGCGGCTCTATTCATGATGGACCATTATCAAAAGACATTATGTGCCATAGCAAAGCACTCGGCTTCGCGATCACGCGATCATCCACCATGAGCAACCAATCACCGATATCAGTACCAGACACGTCAGGATCCCAGCACCAGCTTTTGACCCTCGCGTTATCACATTCTGCGAGAGCGCCGGATTGCTTGTGGAGATGCCGCCTCCGCCGCCAGCTGCGGCATTGCCTTTACTCGTGCCTCCAGTTTTATTCGTCACAGGGACGGTGACCTGGTCGATCAAGTTGGCCTGGATGATCGAGAGCGCTCCCATCTGCTGTCCCACCCCTTGTGTACCGTCCCATGTAGAGCCCTGAGTCCATTTCATCCCGCACATCTGACCGTTGGTACCGCCGGAGCATTGCAGTGCGGCTGCGGTGGCGGAGGCCTGGACCCATGGCATTACGGTGGGCTGGATGAAAGGAGCGTATTTGATGGATGCGACGAGCCAGCGTGCCAGATAGGCCTTGAATGAGTAGTTGTCTGTATCGCAGGTGTTGGGAGGTTCGCAGGCGACTTCATACATGACGTCTGGGGGATTGGTAGCGAAGAAGATGGAGGTGGCATTCAGGATGCCCATAACTCGCTCTTGCCAGAGCGGAGAACCATTAGTCTGCGAAAAATCATTGTCAGTGCGTGCTTCTCTTCATTGAATATGGGAGAACCTTACGTAGTTGTACATGACAGAAGCTCCAAGCAGGAACACTCCTGCATTGTAGGTCCATTGGACCCTGTTGATGTCGCTGCAGTTCAGAGTTGTATGAGCACCGTCGTAGAAATGATAGTTTTGATCCATCAAGCTGACGGCTTGAGTCCAATTAAATGTCTTCTCGGCCCACTGCGCATAAGTGTCATTGCCGGTGTACAAGGCCAAGCGAGCGCCTAGGTTGAAGAAACAACCGTTGGAAATTGAGTTCTTGTAGTCGTATCCAGTGTTGAAAGTGAAGATCTGCCATCTCAGGCCGCCATCGCAATACTGGTTGTCCCATCGACTAGCTTGATCGTTGAAGACAGCCTGCGCTAACGCCAACCACTGAGGCTTGGTCGATGGAGGGTCTGGGAATTTTTGCTCCGCAGCTGACATGGCAGCCATGCCCCAAAAGCCTTGATCATCATTCCCTTCCGTCTTGGTCTGATTGGGCGTCATATAGTCATTGTCTGGCCCCACCTGCCAAAGCATGCCTTGTGTGACGAGATCATTGTATTGGCTGTCGTTGGTGTAGTAGTAGTAGTCGATCAAGATGCCAAACATAGCTCCGGCTTCCCACCAGTAGTAAGGTTGAGGCAGATTTCCTGGTACATCCCCAGTGTTGTTACCCGTGTAGAAGGTCAAGAGATTGTAGGCGCAGGTAGAGGCAGCGGACTTGATGGAATCTGTGATAGATGGTTAGTCAGGAGCGATTGCTAGCAGCCCAAAGTAATGAGCCAGAAGGGGAGATGGCTTACTTGGATCTTGTAGGTCTAGGGTGATGGCGGTGGTCAAGGTGCTCCCAGCCAACAGTGAGAGCGCTGTGGTTGATAACCATGACAAGCATGATTTTCGACTACAAGGGGTGAGTCTCATGATGTGCGAAAATGTTTCAAGTGCCCTAGATCTGTTGACGGCGGTAGCCGGTATACACGATTGAGGTGAGGATCTGATGGCGCGGCAACTTCGCTATTTGAATAGCAAAAGTCCAAAGTCGACCAGGAGGAGTCGAGCAGATGCTCAGAAGGTATTCTCCAATAGTTTCTTCAATCCGACTCGGTATAATGATTCCCAACTCTTCTCAGTCTTACAATCTCTTGTACAGGTGGTGGAGAGGTGGCGTGCAGGGAATCCAGGAGTTGAAGGAAGCGACGGCCTGCTGACACGACAATACACTCATAAAGCGAGCGACAAAGACTGACAAACGAGTGACGGAGGATGATGCCACTATGCTGACTGCAGCAGTGACGGGGGTGAGAAGATGATGGGGGAGTTGAGGTTGAAAAAGAGTGAAGTTGCTTTGTTCAGCTGATCTTTGAATTGATTGATTGTTTGACTGGTAATGTAAATTTCAAGATTAGAGTACTTTACTTTACGAGAGGACCCTTAGTTTTCGATTTTTAGCTGACGCGGCGGCGGCTATCCGGCTTCCGTTGCTAGGGGCAAATTTATGAATGAAATTAGTACGCAGACTCGGTCAACGAACGTAAGCGAAGTACATTTACTGTGATCTCCTCTCTTTTGACTCTGGAGATGGAGCTTACGTGACAATAAAACAAAGGAAAAGAGAAAGACCATGCTGACGCTGACGCTGATGCTGATGCCAAGTTTGATATCCACGGGGGTAAAGTAACGCCCGAACGTTGGCAATTTCGCCTGGGTCCGGGCTAAAACGCGGTTTGCTATCTTGGCTTACTGAATGTAGGTACCTAGGTACCCCTAACGTTTCAGAGCCTCAATTACTGTGCTTTCTTCATAAGACTGTACCGGGAGTAATTTAGACTTGATCTCTTTCCTAGGACCACACGGGAAAATGTTGCAAAATGAAAGTGTAGAGCCACCATGGCTGAAGCGTTAGAGAACGAAAGAGGCTCATCTCATCTCTTTGTCCACGCCAAGCCCGCCACGTCACGTGATGCTCCAAAATTAGCGCTTTTAGGACTTTCCAACCTTTGTACCTCACCATCATCCAAACACATCACCATTATCGCTCCTTAAAGTCTCAGCAATTCAGAATCACAAGTAACGACTGCGAAGCCATACTGACATATCAACACCGCTATCAGCACAGTCGCACGCCCGCCGCCCGTCGGACGCTCACTCCGCATTGCTGACACCTAACCTCCAACCTGACATCTCCACCGCGAAATTACATCAACCACACCAACTTCCTCTTACCTCTCACCACATCAACACTTCTTTCTATTTAAGCCCCGCATCCTCCGACACAGCTAGTAACAATGGCAGGCCGTGAGCTACCATACGACCCCTACATTCCCTCGGGCGGTTCAGGTCAAGGTGGAAGCGCGGGATATGAGGGCGGCAACACACGGACTGCTGCGATTCAATCGGTACGTGCACATACCTTATGAGGGGTTGATGGAGCTTGCTGCGCGTTGGGCCTCAGAGGTGGCTTCTATAGAGCGGGTGCCTGAAGACTACACTCCCCACAAGCTCTTCCTACGATGGGCAAAGCTACGATCCAGAGGCGATTCACATCCAGTGGCACTGCGCCTCGCAACTCGCGATTTTGAGACCTTCAGCTGCGATAGCGGTACCATGCGCTAGCACATCCCACTTCCGTCACGAAGCCGCCGCCATTTACCGAGCTGCCCACTTTGCTACAAGCCTCATCTGCTCTCCTCATACTCTACAAAGCACAATCGCTAACATCGCTCTCCTTGGTAGCAAATTGACGACACCGTCAATGTCATGAAAAAGAACCTCGAATCCGTAGCCCAGCGCGGCGAGCACATCGACCAGCTCCAAGATAAATCCGAGAACCTCAACCAATCCGCCCAAGGCTTCCGTCGCGGCGCCAACCGAGTCCGCAAGCAGATGTGGTGGAAGAACATGAAGATGAGGATCTGGATCATCGTGGGCATAATTGTGCTGTTGTTGATCATCATCATTCCGAGTGGTGAGTCCCACGGCCTTTTGTCGTACAAATGCAGAGAAACTGACAAACTGCGTGCAGTGGTTGCATCGAAGCATCATTGAGCGAGGGAAGATGGAGAGGGTCGCTATGTCCCGCGGCGCTGGAAATATTGTTGCGGGCATGACTGGGAGAGACGGATTCCACTTTCAACGACGGATTCGGGTATCTCCTACGCTTGCTCTGCAGAGCATGAGACTGTGAACGGAAGAGCCGCACCTCAAGCCATCGATCTCTCAGCGCGCGAGATGGAGTCCGGTGTCTTTTTCCCTTTGTGCTGCCCATCCGCCTAGAAAATGCTTCACGCCAAGGCGGCTTGCGTATAAGGCTTCTGTAAAACACGCTTGGATCGAGGACTCGTTCCCAAATTAAAGTAATGAAAACCCAATTCCCCCAACGAACACTCCGTCCCGAACCAAGATCCCGCTCCCAAAGTCCACATCCCCTTCCCTTCCCAACCTGTGCACCGCCTTCTAAACATCACCGACCGAAACTATCAAGCGACAAAAACATCAACGCGTGACAACCCCTAACCATTTCTTCCTCAGGTGATGGCCCGGTAGACCTATGTAGTATATGTAGCTTACTTGCCTCAGCGGGCTACGTACCGCTGCAGCCGCTTCATAGATTCCATCAATCCCCCCCACCTACCCACAAGAACCTCGTCTTCAATCTCACCCTTCCAGCTTAGATACCCTCACCACATACACAACACACGTATCCCAATTAGGCCTAGCGTATCTTGGCACTATGGGCTTCAACACCGACATAAGGTACTTCAGACCTCCACAGATACCTACCTGCCTTAGGATCCCATCCCCATTGCGACACCACCGAGGGAAGAAGAACCGGAGCGACGCTACGTCCAAAGCCTGACGTTCGGCTCGGACGAGGGTGGAAGGGGTGGAAGGGGTCCGGACGGGTTTAGAAGTGACAACGCCTGATTCGTCTGCTCTTCGCCTTCTTCTCTTCAGATGACGTCTCAAGGGACGAAGGCGGAATTGTATGATATGGCGAATGCTGAGCTTTTCTTCACCGACTTGGACGGGGTTCCGAAGGGATCAAAAGATAGGAGTGGGACAAGTGCATCCCCGCCCCCCTCCTCAACTCGAAGCGCTGCTGTCACAGAAAGCTGGGGGCGAAAGAGGGCGAAACGGGGGGGGAATGAAAAGTCACGAATGTCTGACAGGTTCCGGCCCTGTTGCCCTCGACTCGAGCTCTGGCACACACGAAAGCCGCCCCGATCCCGTCTTCTGGACTCGACGCTCTGCCACAGGTGAGATGCGCGGCCGGAAGCGGAAGATGTCTGACGAGGTCCGCCTTTTTCTTCTCGACTCGAGACTCGACCACATATGAAACACGTAGATGAAGCTGTAAAAACCTCCCAAGTGCTTGCTCTCCCCCCCCCATCAACTCGAGCACGCCTCTCCGGTGCACAACCGGAGACGTTTAGCCATTTCCTCCTCATCTTCGTTTCACTTCGTTTCGCCTCGTTTCGATTCGTTTCAAGCCTCCCAGTCTCTTCGTCCCCAGGCTGCACTGTCTCGGGTTTCCAGGCGGTTGTAAAATGGATATAAGAAGGTAGATTCTCTCTGCAGAATCTTTTGATTTTCCTTTCATATCCTCCAGCAATCACAGACAGTTCAAGACAGTTCATACATACCCATTCATCCAACAAGCATCCACAACCACAAGCATCTACAACCACAAGCATCCACAATCACCAGCGTCCGCACACACCAGCATTTCCACACTGCACCAATCTCAGCGTCAGGAAACCATCCATCACCAGCAATACCAAGCCACTGAACATCAACCACGATGTCCTCAGCCCAGAAGTCCGCAGCCCAATTAAGAGAGGAAGCTTCCAAGGCCGTGATGGAGAACGGCTACCATGTCCTTCGGCGTACTTTCAGAGTGGAAACGGACGGCACGAGCCCAGAACCCCCCTTCTTCCCGATACCGTTCCTTGGGCTCATCCAAACCGATGATCTAGACCGTTTGCCTTGTGATAGTGAACGTTTGGAACTTACTGGCCCCCACTGGAGCCACCTAAAAGATACAGGACCCTATCACGACCCTGTCACTGGAAAGTCTGATGTTATTGTCATGAAATTCTCCCGCAAGGCTGGCAAAACCAACGCAAAGTGGCACATGGACATTGACAAACGTACGAAAGGCTAGTAAGCGTTCTGGGAGGCCTTGGTGGTGTGAGCGTGGGTGGACCGGGGGAAGGGGTCCGGCAGGGCGGTATCTCTCGGCAGCGCCGAGGATCGGGGTCATCAAGTTTCGTTGAGGCGCAGGCGTCATGACCTATCGGACAACGGTGGACTGTTCCGTGCTCTGCTTGCGATGGAATAAATCGGTTTGGCGTTTGGGGGGAAAAAATCATGCGTTGCTATTCTTGCGGACTCTGTTTCACCCTGTTCTGATACCCCTCCTTTTGTCAGAGCACCAGACACAGCACCTAATTCCAAATGAAAATACTCGTAACCCAATCACCGAAACTCTCCGTCTCTGACGGGAAGAGGTGCAAGGATCTTCTTTGCGTGATTCCTGATCGGAGATTATGTGAATGATGGAAACCCCTATTTTGCCAACGTAATTGGTCGTGGACAGGGTCAGGGCTGCGGCTGCGGTACATGAAACATGCAATGACGCCATGCCACTACCGTGGAAGGATCTGGGCCCTCCCCAATTTAGCGCCCAGTATGTAGTCATGCTGTCAGATCCGCTGGTGAAACACGACAAGCAGCCCTATGCGGGCACTCGTCATATCCCGGTGGCAACGTGGTATTTCGAGAGATGCAGGCAAGGCGAATGGAGAAGGTGGCAGTCGAAATGATACAGATCCTCAAGTGATCGGCAAAAGGCATGCCAAAGAGGAGTGTTAACCATGACAGACGGAAATTTTCTGGGGTGATGTCCAGAACCGGTGTGACGACCAGAACTTCTCGAGCCGCAGAATGCCACTTTTCTAGGGTAGTCTACCAGGATGTCTCTACCATGTCGCCATCCTGGATGTGCTGATGGCAAAATTCTGTACTTGCTCTCCTCATCGTCACTGAAGTCCCCGTCCAGCATGTGGAAGCGTACATAATCTATCCTCCGCAATGCCGCACCTTCTCGCAAAATAAATGTTTCATCGACCTCTTAGTCCTGATGCAGGAGATCGCGGTGTAGACGACGGATACGATCTCGCCGAACGCGTCTCTTCGCATCTGCGCAACTGACAAGGGCCTTTCGATTTCTAATTTGCTGCTCTTTTACCTCTGCTTCCGTATCGTCCTTGGCAGTGACGCCCATGCAGCCATCGCAAATGAGCTCAAAGAATAGCGAGCGTTCACAGTCGATACAGTGCCAGTCCTCCTGCCTGAAGCCACGGTTCTCGAGTATCTGATTGAAGGTTCCTGGCTGTCTTTCCGTGAGTCCACAACAGAAGTCCGACATTGTGAAGACTGATTTAGCTCCACGACGGAGTACTTCTTCTCCTCGGCAGAGAAGAGTGAGAACAGCTACCTCCAACTAAACGTGGCTGTCTGCTCCGTGTCATCCACGGTGAGGTCTGGGAGGTATATATCGTTCATCTGCGTGCGTATCTTCACTACATGCTTGGTAGCAAAAACATGATGTACCTCCGCCTTGAACAGCCTCGAGATGCGTCAACAGTCAAGTCAGAGGTGAATGAGGTCTTCATCTGTGGTACCAAACTTGCCAAAAACCATTCTCCATAGTTCGGCAGGCCATTGTGGGACATCGAAGGAAGGGTTCATTGCAGCGGTTATTCAGGGGGTCTAATTTCAGCGGGCAGCCCAGCTCACGATCTTGGAATACTCTTGTAGACAGAGAAAAGTAGGTATCACGATTGAAGAGGTCTCCACCGTTCACCCGCCATTTCTGTCCTTCCGAGGGTCGGTGACAAAGGTCGTTGCACACCGATCCCCGCTAAGCCCTATGAAAAATATGTGCTGGGGCGCGGGCTTCCCAGTAGTGAAAAGCTTGCCGAGTACTGGTTTTTGACTGTTTAATTCTTAGAGAGACCCCCTAAAACCCCTCGAACCCTTCGAGAACTCTTTAAAGGCTCTTCGAGAGCTTCTATCGAAGAGGCTATTAAAGTAAACTCGAAATTTAATTATTTTAGTAATATTTAATTAATTTCGAGTTTACTTTAATAGCCCCTTCGATAGAAACTCTCGAAGAGCCCTTAAAGAGCTTCGAAGGGTTTAAGGAATTTTAAGAGATCTAACCTTAAAAATCGAGAGAGATAGTTAATATACTTAGGGGGGGATCCTCTAAAACCCCTCTAACCCTTCGAGAGCTCTTCGAGAGCTCTTTAAGGGCTTCTATCGAAGAGGCTCTTCTCGTAAACTCGATAATTTAAATAAAAATCTTAGTTTTTAGTATATCTTTATAAATACTTTATTAAATTTTATTTTCGCTATATTATTTAAAAGTGTATAATTAACTCTATAACTCTATAAATTTATTTTATTATTATTTATTACGTAATATTAAAGAAATTAAATAGAATAAATTAATAAAGTTAATATTCGAGGTTTAGTCTTATAGTGCTTTCTCTTTTAAATATATCTATATTTAAATTAAAAATAAAGAAATAAGGTGTATTTTAGACTAGAAATCGTAAAATCCGATAATTTAATTAATCACTAGCATCTTAGCGTAGTATTCATTCTCGTTTTCAAGTCTTAAGTATTAAAAAAGCAAGCTTTTCAATCAATAGTATTCTTTAAAGAGATCCTTTCATTTTCTTTCTATTATAATTATTATTAATTATAATATTTAAGACTAAGCGTAAATAAATTAGTATATCTATATTCTTATTAGATTTAATCGAAAATTTAAAATAGTTTACTTTTAAATAAACGCGTGTAAAATAAATAAAGAAGTTAAAATATATTAATAACGAGATTTAGTAAGAGATTAGTATCTTACGATATATATAATATATTATTTATAAAGTCTTAAGTTAATATATTAATAAGAAATAAAGTAATTAATCTCTTAAAATTAATTAGAATATCGTTATAAAGATAATTAAGATTTTATAAGATAAATATAATTAGCGTAAAAAGCTATAAGATCTTATTACTAAGAAATTTACATATTTATCTTTAATATATTCTTTATCAAAATTTAGATCTTTTTTAAATATATATATTATTAAGAGATATATAAATAACGCTAGCTATTATAAGTATCGAGTTTATTAAAAAAGCTAAATTAATAAAAAATAGATAAAGAATTAACTTTATTAATATAAGAGATATAAATAATTAAAGTAGAAATAAATACTTATTTATTAGTCTGATAAGTATTATTTTTATTAGAATTCTCGCTATACGAATTAGATTATATATAATTCTTATAAAAGAATATATTTAAATTATATTTAAAAGCGGAGATATTAGTATATCAGTATATACAAGTAAAGGCCTATAAATTAAATTCATGAAGTTGGATTTTTCATTTTTCTAAGTTAAATGGAGTTGAATTTTTCTAAGTTAAATGGAATTTTAGCCCTAGCCCTAAGTTAAATCGAACTCTAATCGCTTACTATACGTTTTTAACTTACTTCTATTATTACGAAATTAATAAAGAAGGTAAAAGCTCTAACTTTAAGTTAAATTAAACTCTACTTGCTTTTTATATAGTAAATAGTCTACTTCTATTACTATAGATCGCTAATTAATTATATTCTTATTTAAGAAAGTAATATCTATTTGATAATCTTATTCTTAATATACCTCGTCGATTGAGTGGGTTGTTTTCTTAATAGATCGCCTAGGATTATAATTAATAGGCTGATCTTACTAATAACTCGACTTAGAGCTATATATAATTAATTATAGATAAAGACCTCGGGATATAAATATAAGCTAACTTACTATAATAATTAGTCTTAGAACTTATTAATTATTATATTAAAGATTAATTAGATTAAGAATTAAATACGTTAAAAGAGAGTATATAGATCGTTTAAATTAGGCGAAGCTAGAGGGATATATAATATATAGTATTATTTATCGTTATATTCGCTCTTAAGAATATGATAATTAAGTATCTTAAACTTAATATACTTAATTTATAGATATATTCTATTATATAAATCTATACGCTACTCTAAATTTCTTAATAGTATTATTATATAATTTTATTTTAACTTTAAATAATAAGGTGAAAGTAAAATCGATTTAAAGGTATTTATTATTTCAGTAGATAGGAGGAAGCTATTTTCCTTATTAACGACTTAATTCTTATTATTATAAATAATCTTAGTTTTAGAAAACTTATTAAGAACTTAACTATTAAATTAAGCGATATTCTTATTAAGAATATAAAGAATCGCCTTAAATATGTAGAAATTAGCTATTTGATATAGATTAAGGTTATTATAAATAGTATTAATTAATTAAGTAATAAAGTCGTCTAATAGTTACTCGATAGATTAATTAATAGCTTTTCATTTTTCGAAGCTTGTTAAAATATTATTATCTATATCTAATAGCCTTTAAACGAATTTCTCTATATTAGTTTAATCTTAATTAATTAGATTAGAATTTCGAAGTCTTATATTTTCTATAAGCTTAAGGATTTAAATATAGTTTTAAAGGTAGAATACTTTTAATATAGTTTAAGCGATATGATTTAACTTAATATTCTTAATAATTGAAAGAATTTAATAAAAATTATTATAGAAGTATATAACTATACTATTAAAAGGAGTAAGGTTCTTTTAAATATCTTAAAGTATACGATTAACGACCTCGATATTATAGTAATTTTATATAGAGACCTCGTCTTAGAAAATAAGCTCGGTCGCCTTTAATAATTAAGTTAAATTAGACTCTATCGATATATCGTAATTAGATTAAATAATAATATTAAGAGAAATCTTAAAGCGAGAATAAGTAATAATATTATTTTAAAGAAGAATAAAGATAATATTAGATAAAGTTATAGTAATAGCTACTTTAGAGTTATATCGTACTCTTCGCAATATAATATTCTAAAGTATAGTCTTATTAATACTTTTATAGCTATCTAAAAAGAAGAGTTAGCTATTAAAATAAGAGATTATATTTTAAATAGCGTCGACTATAGTAATTTAATCGTTATTAAAACTTATCTATATCTACTCTTAGATATTAATTTAATAGCTATATTCTTCGCGTAGAAGTCGATTTTAATCGTTAATATAGTATTATTTATAGTCTTATTAGATTATTAATAGATTAAAGCTAATAGTAAGACTAATATCCTTTATAGAAGTAATATTATTCTCCTTTAAGCG